CTCTAGAGGATCGGCCTGTTGAACATCATGCCGAACCTCATAAACTTGTGGTCCAACTTGCCGCAACACCTGATACGGTCCTTTCCATTGCACAAGAAGCCCCTTAGATAAACCTCGTACCGTAAAATGGGGAAAACGGACTAACACCAAATCATCCACTTTGTACTCCGCAGGTGGACGATGATGGGAGTTGTAGCGCCATTGTTGTCCCACTTGTACGCGGCCTAAGTGTTCGGCAGACTCAGCTCCGACAAGTGGAAGAATGCTCGTCAAATACTGATCCCATGATTTAGCATCGGCAGCTCGTGGCAATCGCGAAGGTAAACCCAGCTCCGTTGGTAATATTGGATCATGACCATATAGGAGTTTATATGGTGAAGCACCAACAGAACTCTGCACCCCTGTAACATATGCATACCGAAGAGACGGCAAATAACCATCCCAATCCGAATGTTGAAAGTTCACATACTTCGCAATCATCCCTTTGAATGTCCGAACAAGCCGTTCCACCAGACCGTCTGATTATGGATGATAAGCACTCGTGAAAGTGTGGCATATCCCCAATCGAGACGTCAAAACATGAAATGCCTCAGCCATAAATGCGGGACCATTATCTGAAAGAATCCGCTCTGGACAAGAATGCTGGAACACCACTCGATTGAGGAGGAAGTATCCAACAGCAGCTGTAGAGGCGCTAGCAAGAGCACCAACTTCCACCCAACGAGTCAAGTAGTCAGAAGCAATAATAACATACTCATTGCCAGCAGTTGACCATGGAAAAAGTCTCATAAGATCAAACGCCACTAACTCAAACGGACAGGAAACTGCAATTGACTCCAACCGTCCTTCCGCAGCACGAGGGGGAGTATTACGAGCTTAGCACCAAACGCAGCTACGCACATACCAGATAATATCACGTCGCATCTCTGGCCAATAGAAAGACCTGCGCAGCTTCTCAGTGACAAGACGGTGTCCCATATGCCCACCTAGAACAGGAGAATTATGGTAGGCATGGAAAAACCGCGGAATAAACACCGAAGGCACCACCAGCCGTAAATGATCATCAGGATCCGTCCTCACAAAATAAAGAAGGCCATCTTCAAGGTGATATTGAGAATGTAAATGCCGGAAAGGCAAGTCATCAGCAAGTGATGCAGGATTCTCAAACCCATCTTGAAGCCTTTGAATCCACGGCTCAATCTTTTGAGCCTCACGAACCTCATCAAGAGAAGGTAGATCTTGCTCTGCGCCCTGTGGACACTGAACGTCAAGGACAGCAACCGCCGACGACACAGAATCCTCATCTAGAAAATCCACAGATGCTGGAACAATAGGTTCGTCAGAAACATGAGAAGTGAGTGGAGAAGGAAGAGGAGCTCGAGAAAGGGCATTAGCATCAGCCATAGAACTCCTTGGGCGATGAACAACATCGAAATCATATATCTGAAGCTTCAAAGCCCATCGAGCCGTACGACCAACCAGGTTCTTCCGCTTTTATAATGAAGTAACAACAGCATGGTCACCTTCAAGTAACATCCGAGAACCATGTAGATATGCATGAAGTTTCTCGAAACCCCAGACTGCTGCTAAACACTCCTTCTCCGTCGTGGAGTAGTTCATCTCTGCTGGTTGTAATGTACGGCTTATGTATGCAATGGGATGGCACTGACCAGGCACACTCGAGCTCTCTTGCATCAACACACCTCCAAGACCAATGTCAGAAGCATCCACGCGCAAAATAAAAGGTCAAGTGTAGTCAGGATATGCCAAAACCGGGGGAGTCGTCAATAGCTCTTTGAGATCCATGAACGCCCGCTCACAATCCGGAGACCAGATGAAAGATGACGTTGATGACTTCAGCAACGTTCGCAATGGTGTAGTGTGATCGGAAAGATGACCCACAAAACGACCGAGATACTGCACCTTACCCAAAAAACGCTGCACATCATTCACACACTTTGGGGTAGGGAACTTTAGAACAGCCACAAGTTTGTCAGGATCAACTTGCAAACCCTCACGAGAAATACGATACCCAAGATAAGTTGTGTCCTTGGACCCAAACACGCACTTTGATCGCTTCAGCTTTAAACCAATGTCGCGTATCCGATCCAACACTTTACAAACATCATGAACGTGCTCCTCCCACGTCCCCTCTGAGTGGATCAAGACATCATCAATGAAGTCAACAGTCACCTCCGGCATATCGCAAAGAACCTCGTCCATCATCCGCTGGAAAGTTGCTGGAGCATTGTTCAAACCAAACGGCATCACCAAAAACTCGTACAAACCAAATGGTGTACGAAAAGCAGTCTTAGGAATATCTTCTTCAGCCATCGGTACTTGCCAATACCCAGAAGCAAGATCTAGCTTGGTGAACCAACGACTTTGCCTCAGACGATCCAAGAGATCAGCAGTGTGAGGAAGAGGATACACATCTGGGATCGTCACTTCGTTTAACGGACGATAGTCGATGCAGAAACGAATACTCCCATCAGGCTTCGTCATAAGATGAGGTTCACATGCCTAAGGACTCCGCGACTTCCGAATAACACCCTTCTCCAGCATTTCCTTGACGTTTGCTCGTAAAATCTTGATCTCCTTAGGTGACCGACGACGAACAGGAACCTTGATTGGACGAGCATCCCCGGTTGGAATCGGATGACGTGTGGCAATCTTGGCTCCAGACGATAGGTCAAATTCAAAGAGATCAGAATACTCCTTCATGAGCCAGTCAATTGCTGCAATACAAAGATCGTCGGAGGGATCGGAAAAGGGAAAAGCAGAACAAGATGGAAACATAGAAGGAAAGAGTGGGGGAACAAAAATAATGGAAGCAGAGGTAGAAGTAGAGGGACGAAGAGGTATGGAAGTGAGAGGAATGGATGAAACATAAGGAAGTATGAGACAAGGGGGAGAAGCCTCAAAGTCACACTTGGCATGATTGCGTTGCAACTAATCCATACCAAGAATGAGGTCAAAAGCTTGACTCGGCACCACCCGCAACAACTGCAACTCAAGCTCAAGATTGCCCACATGCACAACCAGGTCCACCTCATCCCGTGCACATGCATGTGTACGGCCGTTGCCATAAAGAATGAAAACTGGTTCCACCACACGACGCAAGTGTATATGACAACGTGTGGCAACAAGTCAAGCAATAGAAGATAAACTCGAACCTGTATCAACCAACACGGAGAGAATAATAGGAGACCTTTTGTTACAAAAACGAGTTTGGAAAGTAAACACTGGATGAACTGGTGCCGAGTGAACCCCTTGATGATACTCCCGAAAGAAAGATGGAGGGGTCACTGATTTATTCGCGCAAGGTCCCTCCGTTACTCGCGTGACTCCTCATTTTCTGGATGCATCTCGGTGTCCAGACCTCAGCACCCATGGGACGTTGTTGATGTCAAGGTCTCCACCCAGGAAATGGAGGTCGCCAATCCGGAAAATGACGGCAACGCCGATAAGTATGACCAACTTCATCACATGCCTAGCAGCGAACATCACGGCCACGACCACGTCCTCGCACTTGTCCTTGGACTCGAGCAGCAGCAGCATCAACCTCCATTGGAACAGAACCATCACCCATAGGAAGTGGAGCAGAAGGACGTGCAGCGAGAAGTGGAAAAAGCGATGTCTCATAACGTTGTGCCAAGCGAAAAGCATCATCAAGGGTAGCAGGAGCAAGTGCGTGCACAAGTCCGACAAGATCTTGACGAAGTGCTGGCTACAACATTCCTAGCTTGATCTGCTCCGACATATTTGGCTCCGCACGAAGCAAAAGACTTCGGAAACGAACGCCAAATTGCATCACCGACTCAGATGGCCCTTGGCGAAGACGATGCAATTGTTGGAAAGCATCATCACAATCATCGGCATGTCCGAAGGCGCATTTGAAGACGTCCGGGAGAACACTCCAATCCTTACGAGTGGCTGCGCTCAAACCATTGTACCACTGCAACGCCGTCCCTTGGAGACATGTGGGGAACTCACGCAACCGTCGAGCATCATCCCAAGAATGATATGTGGCAATCACCGTGAAGTGATCGAACCAATGGTACACATCATCCCCAGGATTCCCGCGAAAGAACTCCGGCCGAACGCGAGGATTGGCACCAAGAGCAGGAGGAGTTGTACCACGTGCCGTGAACGCCGCCATCAACTGAGTTTGGTTGTTCAATTGCAAACGCATAGCATCAAGCAGTTGTACCAACTGCTGTTCTAGAGTCAAAGGAGGAGATTGCTGATCTGCCATGAAGATGAACGAAAAAGAAAGAGCAAAAGAAGAGAAATGACAAAAAGCTAGAAGGAAATGGTAAATCTAGACAACGCAAAAAGCTAGATCTAAACCAAAACCCTGAAAAGAAAGGAAATGGAAAAAGCTAGATCTAGACGATGCAAAAGCTAGATCTAAACCAAAATCCCAAATCCAAGCACTCCTCATGGACAATCAAAGGTGCCCCTCATCTCCACCAATGTGAGTAAATGTGCATATCAATTAGCCCAAAAACCCTAGCTTATATACAGGAGCGAGTGGTCCAGATTGAAACCAATCTGACGGCTACCAAAATTCCACTACGTTAATATTAGTATACAGCATCGTAACCGTACACTTGGCCCTCACAGCTTAAGTCAGTTCATGCAATAATAATATTAATAGCAACACTTGATTTGCTTAGTAAATCTTGTATTTATAAGATGTAAATATGTTTATAATTATAAACTTCCATTTGATTAATTTGATTAATAAATAGTAATAACACTACTAATCTAAATAAATAACAACCATTGGATAGTAAAGTATTTTAGAATATTTAAATATATTCTAGGTATATCCAGTAACACACAAATTTGCTTACCCAAACCACACTATTATAAAGTAATATTAAAAGTAGCATCTCGAATGGAGAAAAACTAGTTAGAGTCATGTTGGCAAAAAACAACTCAGAAAGGAATCTTTAGTAAGACATTGATTAAGATCAATCTTCTCTAAAGTCATGTTAAAACCCAGGGTTTAAATCAGCCACTGAAGAAATTTTAGAAAAGTAAAATTAAAGAATAAAAGGCAAATTAACATACAATTTGGACTGCTAATTTTTATTCAACCACTATAGAGAATATTATATACATATGGACGCGCGACCTCCTCTGCTTTCGCAGCACGCGCTTGTTTTTTCAGGAGATTTGTGTGTTCTTCCTGTAGCAAGAGGGAGAAGGAGAGGGAGAGGGGGAGAGGGGGAATGGATCCTTTCAATCCGTTCCAGGAAGAGGTGGGCGGAGGGGGGGCCATCCAGAGCACGTTTGCGGACATGGCGCTGCAGCACAAGCTCACCTTGCTCGTCGACAACTCGTCCCTCTGCTCCTGGACGTATGCAATCTTCTGGCAGCTCTCCAGCGCCGACGGCCAGATGTAAGCTCTCTCTCTCTCTCTCTCTCTCTCTCTCTCTCTCTCTCTCGTAGCATCACCTAGCATCATCTGCCATGGTTCTAAAAGGCGCTCACTTCACTTCAGGATTCTGGGCTGGGGCGACGGCTAATTCTCCACCAACGAGAACAGTACCCAGCGGAACGAGGCCAAGCAGTTCGATGCCGACCAAATTCTCAGGCGCAAGGTCCGCCTTGTGCGAGCTCCACGACCTGTGCCATCCCGAGGAGGATTATCGAGAGGTGGACCATGTCACCGACCAGGAGTGGTTCTATCTCCTCTCCATGTCGTGGAATTTCGCCTGCGGTGAAGGGTACGTAGAAACACGCTTCTTGTCTTGTTCCAAGGCTGATAAGCTCCAGGAGAACTCGCAGCATTCCAGGGCGGGCGTTCCAGTTTGGGCAGCACATATGGATTTGCGACACTGTCAAGCCCATTAACTTTCACTGTGCGCGACTGGAGCTTGCCAAGGTAACGTATGCTTTTTCCTTTGTTTTCATCGCCTGTGCTCCAAGATTGCGTGCTGACTTCGCTCCTCCCCTCTGTTCTTGTGCCCAGAGCGCAGGAATTCAGGTAACCAAAAGTTGAACTGGCCATGTCGTATAGATCTCTCACGTCCTCCACGCTGCAGACAATCGTCTGTGTTCCCACCCGAAACGGAGTTGTGGAGCTGGGATCCACCGAAATCGTAAGCTTTCGTGTTTTTCGCTTCTCTCTGTTGGAGATGATATATGTGGTGCCGAGTGCTCGCGGACACTCCAAGACATAAGGAGATACTTTGAGGAGGAGCAGCACCAGCAGCAATCACAGCAGCAACCGCAGCTACTGCAACTTCTTCCCCACCTTTGAAGTTTCTATTCATTGCTCTTGAACCCGCAGGATTCCTCTTTGCTATCTGGTCCTATATCCAGCACCAGGAAGTTTCCAGCTTGTGCCCCTGGGATTTCTTGCCTCTGAAAGAAAAGTCTCCTGGGTCATATGTTCTCTCAACATCTCTCAATCAAAACGCCTTATGCATTCCAATAGAGATCATATTTCCTCGAGGCCTTGACAACCCTCTCGACAAGCTCAACATCGCTAGCATTGTGTTTTCGGCATGATCTCATGGATGAAGAACAAGCACACGCTGCTTAGAACAGAGATTGTGCATGCTCCTCACCTCCACCCTAATGGGATTGGTTTGCATTTACGACAAAGCACCTTGAAACAGAAACGTATGACTGAACGCACGTCCTCGTCCAGAGCAAGCTCAAACTCTCTCCCTCTCGAGAAGAATCCTCTGCGCCTATAAGAAAAGTTAGCGTTAGGGTCAGTGTTCAGTTTATCTCTAAGCGTAAGAAGTATATACGCAGATCAAGGATGGCGTTTCTGCGAGCGCAGCGCGTTTTGTACATCCATCCCACAGGCGAAGCGGAACTAGACGAAGGAGTGCTGCGGCACAAGGGGAGGAGAGGTAGGCCAGTTCCCAGCGCTCTGCCCGATGTGGCCGGCCTTCGGGGATGGCTGCAGGAAGAACTGCCTTCTGTGGATTCGGTCCTCGTTCCCGGCGATGGATGGTACAATCCGGAGTACTTACCAGACGGCCCACTTCCTGTGAGCTTTGCGCTTCATGTGCGTGGATCCGAAGGTAAAGTAAATGGTCTTTTGCTCTTGGTCTCCGCTCATTCTTGGCGATGGTGATCAGGCAAGCGACGCAGGGACGAAAACACCGCTGTGACAGTCGCAAGGAGTCAGACGAAGAGGGTGAAGGATTACCAAGTATACGAGCCCATGCTCGTGGAGCCGGATATCCTACTGGGCGGCCGGTCGAGTACCATGCTTGTGGCTCTAAAGTGGCTAGCTTTGCTCGAGCGCGAGGCCGCCAAGGTAGACCTTACAAGCCTGAGAGAGCTCAGGCTTGCCAAGGTGAAGCCAAAGGAGAGCGCCTATTATCCCGGCGTCTTGGCCTTCTTACGAGCTGCTTCGTTTGGTCAGAAAGGCTTGAATTTCGGTGGGCACGGCTTGCAGGGCTTTATATGCGGCAAGCCAAGCGTTTTGTCGGAAGTGAAAACGAAGGTTTTCTATGCAACTGATAAGGATGAGACGGGTATGGTGGCCAATGCTACGCTGATAAAGCAGGAAGCAGACTATCTGAAAACGGGAATCGAGGGAACGGATGAGACGGCTCGTCTGGGGTGCCTGTTTTGCCGCATGGACAGGTTCTGGATTGTCAAGTACCTGCGAGAGACGGATAAGGTTCAGGTGACGCCGGGATTTCCTTTGCCTCTGCAGCTGGCCGACTTCAGTCCGGACTTTGTGCTGATGAAGCTTTCGTGGCTAAATGAGACCAGCTTGGAGAGCATCAGCCTGAAGGACGTTCTACCTCCTAAACCGATGCCTGGATTCTGTACGTTGGTCTCCTATACGGAGGAACTGCAGCGAATGTACGATCTACCGGTGCTGAGTGTTCGTTTCGTGGGATCAAGCACTGATATCCCGCTCTCAGATCTGACGCCGGTGGCTTATGGCAAGAAGTCTCTTGTGGTGCTCCGACGATCAGCGTTCAATGTCCTCAAGATCTGCTCGCCATCGAGTGCTGAGATGGAGCGACGCATCCATGCAGCATCCGACGGCCACTCCAACGTGCGGAGGCTTGTGAACTGGGGGATGGTGAGCATTGGGGAGAACAATGACGTGTTTGGCTTTCTGGAGCTCGAGGGCTATGGCCAGCCTTTGGGTCGGGAGCACATTGCCGACATGGAAGCGATGGATGATATGTGGAATCAGGCGTACCGGGGGCTCAAGCATCTCCATTCCAAGGGTGTTCTTCACCGGGACGTGAAGCCAGACAACCTGGTCGTGTTTCCGGGCAACGTGCTCAAGATAAACGACTACGATGTGTCGTGCTTCAAAGGCGAGAGCCGTGCTTACAGCGAGATGGTGGGAACTGTCGGGTACCAGTCTCCTTCTGATATGTTGCCGTATGCGGAGGAGGACGACGTGTTGTCTCTGGCGCTCTCTTTCTATGCTCTCAAGTTCGGAACGACAACGACTTCGAAAGCGGGCCGGCTCCATATCTTACTCCGAGAGCTGCAGCCGGATGTTTTCCCTGGAGCAATGATCCAGGCAGTGGAAGAAGCGGTGATGCAACTCAACTTGGAGCTACTCGAAGAAGATTAGTACTAAATTTATAAACTGAGCCTGTTGAATGGTTTGTAAATTAAGACCTACTATGTTCCTCAAGTGCCATTTGTAGCAACACCCAATAATCACATAGACGTGGATCCCAATATGTCAGAGTCTATCAGGTTGGAGTTGTTTTATTTTGTTTGTGGTGGGCATGATGTTTTTAGGAGCTGCATTTCGCAGTACATGTTCCATGCAGCACTTCTTCCTTCCCTCAGCTTGCACTTGGCAAGTCTACCACGCGGATGGAGGTCGACCCTCCAGCCAGTTTAGCAACACAAGAACAAGGTTGCGGTGGTGGTTGTGGTGGTCGTGCTCGTGTACATTGCCACATAGGAATCCATGTCAAGCTACAGTTGCACCTGGTGGTGAAGATGTAGAATTGTTTCCTGTTGAACAATTGGAAAACTAATGGATGTATCCAGATGTTCATGGATAACAGGAGTACTCCTCCACCAGCATGCTGTGTGGAGTTGATGGAGGATGAATAGTTGGTTTATATTCATTTTCTTTTGTGTTGTTAATGTTACTAAAGTGATGGTCTTCGTGGATTCAGGTTTAACAATCTCCTCCATTCACTGCTTTATTGTCAATGTTTGGCAACATCTTTATAGTGCCACTTATGCAAGTTTCTAGTCCATTTGAATTGGTCATGGGCCATTTTCATAAGGGGGTATCATTATATTGTCATTGTATCTGATTACTTTATTCAGTGGGTTGAAGTGTGTACACCCTGGTTTGAAATCCTGAGTGTATCCTTTCAACTCAAGATTGTGAAAAGTGCTCAACATTTCCTTTACATATGAATCTCTCTTTTAAAAGTAGGTTTTATTTATAATGATCTTTTATATAAAAGTTATTTAAATAGGTTTTAAAATAAATTTCTAAAACTATATTCTAAAAATGATTTATAAAGTTTGTATAAATCTATGAGGTAAGTTCACAAAATTGATTTACAAATTTTGGGTTTTTAATAATTATTTAAAATTAAGTTATTTTAATTACAAAAAGGTTTTATGTAATATATTTATAAAGAAGATTATGTTATAGTCTATATTATATCATCAGAATATATACTATGTAAAAAGTACAATAGTTGTTTTCAACTAGATAACTTTGTTTATAATTTCATTTTATTGGCTGTATAAAAAAAAAAAAATTCTGCTACTTGAAAAAGCCATTACAACAACTTAGTTAATTTATTTGCTAAAAGATTATTATATCCACTATAAAACTATAGTTTAATTCATTTAATTGCTATTGCTTGGTCTGAGAGCCTTTTTTGTTGTCAAGCCATTTATATAGCTCCCACTGTGTAATTTAAGAATCAAATATATAACTATGATTTAAATATAGTTAATGAGTTTATTATCAAGCTAATTTTATAACTTATTTATTAAGTTTAAAGTATATAGAATAGTTTTTTATAGTTAAAATATTGGTACTTGCCTTGATTCTAGAATCTAGAAAGTCCTTTATATATACATATTTGAGTATGCTTATTTAATTTAGCTTTATATCTATTTTTTAAATATTTTAATTAAAAAATATAGAATTTATTTATATTATTGTTTGTTACCCACACACTAAATTTGTTCAATTTAGCATTAATGGCCTGAAACTTAATTAAATTTTATAATATTAATTGCCCTAAAATGTTTCACCTAACAAATTTTTATGTTAGAGTTTATAACTTCTTGATTAGTATTTTTGGTTAACACCTTATTCTTTATGATTAAGTATAAACATTATACATTAATTTAAAGATAAAAAATTAATTTAATTAATTTAAAAATATTTTATGATTCATTATAGCTTGATAAACTCTATGAATTTTATGAAAATAACTTTTTTTGTATGAATAATTGAAATTAGAATTTATCTAAATCAAATAAATCTATACCTTCAATTGTGAAATTATATATTTCAAAATGCTTTAATTTTAATATATAATAAAATTTATAAATTTAGTAATTTCTAATTCTTAACATTTTAAATCAACACAAGATCATTCAATATATAACATCAATTACTTTTTATAATAAATATTTTATTTTATTTAAAATAATAAATAACTTTTAACTTGAAATATAAGATGAAATACTGATACTACATATATTATTTGTATTAATATAGTTCTTTGCTGATTTTGTACAATCTTATTATTACATCCTAAGAATTTTTAATGTTTTATTTTTTACTTTTTTCCATTTTTATCTGGGTCTGGGTTGGTAAATTATAAATTTTAAAAATAAATTAAAATATAAGAAGAATACAAATATTCTTAATGATAAGTGGTTTATCTTTTTAGATTATTCTCAATATTAACATTTTATGATTAAAATTGTTTAAGAACTACCGGTAATAGAATATGCTCTTTATGTGCCGTTGTTTCCGATAGATAACGCAGTATTTGAATCAAGGCCTTTAGGGTTTATAGTTTCCAGCGCCATGGCTACTCTTCAGCTCGCTCTCCAGAAGACATCGAGCATCAAGATGTTTGAGCAGCCGCGTCAAGGTCTGCGAGGGCTCGTTGGAATCGGCAAGCCGGTTGTGCAGCAGCGGATCGTTCGTCCTCCGGACATCGCCAATCCCAGGGTTGGGGAGAGCTTCACGCATCTCAAGCTCACGGCAGGTGATATTTCGAGTCTTTTTCGCGATCTAGGCCAGCAATGCGGGCATTCTTTGTCCCTTGATCAGAGAAAATGCTCCAAGAACAAGCGTGCGTCAAGAGCGACCTGGAAATCGCGGTTTGTATTTGCAATTCCCATTCTCGACAACAGCGTCTTGTTCTGTAGAACTCCAAGCTTGCGAAGGCGGAGGAGGAGCTACGAGCATTGGAAGCGAAGAACCAGGAAATCTCCAACGAGAATGCCATGCTGAAAGTAAAGCACAGCGAGGACACAAAGCTTTGGACCAGTGTGGAGGCCAAAGTCTCGTCAGCCAGCGCCTTCTTCGAGCAGATCACAGAGACTCTACACGCTCTTGAGATTCAAGTCCAACAAGGTATCATCTTTTCATCGCTTTGAAAACCATGTTGCTTTGTTCTAATTCATGTGAACTAGCTGAGGCGACCAAGAAGCTCGTCGAAGAAAGGTTGCTAACCAGGGACGAGGTAATTGAAAAGGACTTGGCAAGGCTGCGGACCAGCTTGCAAGAAGCTACGCTAAAGCTCGAGACTGCCGAGAAGAATAGCGAGTACAAGCAGCTGCTGCTCAAGGAACAAGAGTCTGCAGCTCAGAAGATCGCCACTCTGGAAAAGACGCTTTTGGAAACTCGCAAGCAATCGGAGCTTCAGTTAGAAGCCAAGCAAGCAGACATTGCGAAACACCTCAGGGAGTTATCGCAGAAGAACGATCAGGTAATCAGCTTTTTCGTTCAGCCTCTTGCATAACATAGCGCTTTTTCTTTCTTGCAGGCGATGCTTGAGATGAAACGCCACGAGGTGATTAGCCACCAACTGAATCGTTCTCATGTGTATGTTTTTATCCAGATAAACAAGCTACAAGAGAGCCATAAGCAAGCTTTGGAACAGGTTTCTGCGAAGCATGAGGAGCTTCAATCGAAGTACAACGGGCTCCTTCTGTCCATGAAAAAGGTTCCTGTCAAATATTTGACAAGACTTGCGCAATTTTCTTGTCTTGATCAGGTGGAGGCGGAGCTCGAGATTGCAAAGGCCAAATTCGGGGAGCTTTCGGAGAGAGACCGCCGGCAGCAGTCGGACTTGGTACTTACAGTGACAAAACACGTGACAGGATTTGACGAGATTTCTTTCAGGCTGACAACAAGAAGGAGCTGGAGCTTGTTGCCGTTGAGAAGCGGGAGCTTGAGAAGAAACTCAACGATACGGTTGAAGATCTGCAGAAGAAACATATGGCATCGCTTGCACGGGTAGATGCGGAGCTGGAGAGGATCAAGGCCAGAAACGAGGAACTTTTGGAGAGACAGCAGCAACAACAGGCCGACCTGGTAAGCCTATATGCGCAAGTATGAAAGTTATCACAGATATTCTTGTCTTTGTAGGCCGACAAAAAGAAGGAACTGGATCTAGTCTCGCTCGAGAAAAGTGACATCGAGAAGAAACTCAAGGATCAAATCGAAGAGCTGCAGAGTAAACTCGAGAGCCAGATTGAAAAGAAGGCGGCCGAAGCACCACCTGATGCCAAGAAGACATACGCGAAAAGGAAGAGAGTTCAAAGCACGGCCACAAAGGTAGACGCCTCCTCCTTACGTAGCAAAGCTCTCATATAAAACTTCGTGTCATTTGTTTGCAGGAGGCAACGCCCAAAACCAAGCCCAGAGCTAGCAGCCGAAAGAAGCCGACCAAAAAACAGGTAAACCTCAACTTCATTCATTAAGTTCGTGAAAAAACAGTGCGAGCATTTGTAATGGACAGATTGTGAGCTTGAATGACGACGATGACGATGACGATGGCAACGATCTGTTTGGAGAGGGATGCCTAGACCCTTACGCTGACGATCCCTACGCATTCGGCTAGTCCCAAAAGGTTCGTAGCCAGCGTCCAGTGGAAAGTTACTTGACTTGGTGCGTCCCTTGGCAGGATCAAAGTGGAGCAGCCGTGATGAATGACGAGCTGAGAAGCTCCCATTTCTACTCGAGAAAAAAATTCTTCCGTGCAAGGCGAAAGATTTTGTTCTGGAAGTTTACAGTACGCCACTCACTGTTTTCGTTGATGAAACTTTGTGTACAGGACAAAGGAAAAAGAGAGAACAACCTTCTATTTTGTTTGCATTGGGGACGAAGCATATGCCGGGGATATTTTAATAAGGGTTAGGGTTCTTGGTCGATTCTTTCTTCTTCCAGGTCGCTTCTTATTCCGGATGGACAAATCGCACAGAAAATTTTAGCGGTAGTCACGGTCGATTGATCTCATCTGGCGCTCGCATTTTTGCTGTTCTTGGAGGTTTTGAGGCCGAGCATCCGGCGCAATCCTCGTAGGAACCCGCCGCTCGCTTTCTTGTGACGATCCTCCGCCGCCGCCCCCGCCGCCGCCGCCTTGGTCGGATTATCCCCTGGATTGGCCATGGCCGCCATGGATTCTTGCACGGGATGGCAAATCTGGCACAGCTTGAGCGATCCCTCGTCGAGATTGAGGCGCTGCGAGACGGTGCCCAGCCATCGGCCACACTGCGCGCACTCGATGGAGAGGATCTCCCCATCGCGCGTCTGGTAGCTGTCGGAGATCCTCACCAGGCGCTTGCTGCTGCGATCCACCTTGTCCAGGGACAGCTTCTCCACGCAAGAATGCCGCGGGGGCGCGATCCCTAGGACTCGCGGATGATGATTCTCCCTCGCCGCCGCCGCCGCCGCCGCCGCCGCCGCTGCCAGATCCTCCTCGCTGCTGCTATCGGCGGACACGATCCGGTTGTAGCGCATGGATTGCGTGCGCGGGAGATGGATCTTCGGCTGGTGTTGCTTGAGATTCTTGACGATGCTGGACACCACGCCCTGATGATCGCCGCTCAGTCCCTGGTGGATTGTCGATTCCCTGGTGGAGCTTGCGCGCCGGAGCTCCGGAACCTCGATCTGCCGCTGCGCTACTGCTAGATCGAAATCCCTCCTTGGTACGCTCTCTTCCTCCTTTCTAGCTCTAGCGCCGCCCAGATTATACGCTACCGATTTCTGGAGAGATGGAGACTCCAGCCTCTCCCGCGTCGATTGCGCTCTCCGCAATCCCGGCCAGGAAGAAATTCGCTGCCGCTGCTCGCCAAGATCATCCGGCTGGAACTGGAACAAGCTCGTGTCCCTGTCCGTGTTGTTGCCCACGCCCAGCTTCAAGTACCTCGGTGGCATCCTCGCCAAATCGATCGATCGACGAATGGAATCGATCGCTCCTATATCCTGGAACAAGGCCCAGTCATGAGATTGACGCGAGATTTTTCTTCTCTCGCCATAGCTCTAGCTCGGCGACAGCCCAACAACAACGTTGAAACGCAGCATTTTTAAGGGGAAAAGCGAGCGCTTGCGAGAAAATAACGGGATGGGAGAGGGATTCACACGTGAAGCAAAGGGGGAGCGATGAATGAGCTGACAGCCATGTTCCTCACACAGGGATTTAATAGCCCAAGAACAAAAACAAAGAGCCCAGCCAAGGTAGCCAACACACTGCGAGATCTTTTCCATCACCGCCCAAGACGATCAAACGCAAGAACGCGAGCAATCCTAGAAAACCCACCTCGATCTCGCGTCAATTCGCCGGAACCCACCTCGCGAGCAACGAGGGGTTTGATCCGATCAACGCCAACATTTCGCGAGAGACAAAAGATTTTTTCGATCGTTGGCGATGGCGTGCTTTGTCGCTGTTGCTGTGGGTTGTGTGCTCGAGATCCTTTCAGGCATTTATTCCCGGGGCTCTACTGTAACCGATCGATCCCACTCCACTCCTCTCATCAATCATCAGACAACGATTAAAAATTGGATGGAGAGAGCGAAAAGAAATCGGGCACCTCTTTCTTTCTTTCTTTCTTTCTACCTAGAGAGGGATTTCTTGCTTTATCAAAGAGATTCGAATATGCCTGATTCCACTTAAGTTGGATCTTCCTATGCTAAGCAATGTACCCGTAGGTAGCTTTAGACACAAAAAAGAAAAGAAAATCGACGAGTCAACCTCTTGAATTATATTCCGTTTGTTGGATTGAATCCTAGACTAGCCGTAGCCGCATCCGTAGCTAGCCGTATTGTACGTGTAAAGTATTATGGAGCTTCGAGCGATGCCGGGGACTTTGATTTTATAATGTCCGCCAATGGTTCGTTTGTGGACATTATCAAGTCTTGCGGATATTCCCGGGATCTTTCCCTGGGCCGGGAAATACACGCCAAGGTCAGGCGCTCGCCGCAGCTCTGCGGGGATGTTTTCCTCGCGAATATGCTCATACAAATGTACGGCAGGTGTGGGAGCCTCTGCGAGGCTCGCGCCGTGCTGGACGATTTCGTACGGCCGAATCTTTACTCCTGGAATCTCATGCTCACGGCATATGCCCGGAATGGGCATCTTGCCGATGCGCGGGAGCTCTTTGATGGAATGCCGCAAAAAGATGCCGTGTCGTGGAATGTGCTGATCGCAGCATATTCGCGGAATGGTGACGTGGACGAGGCAAGTGCGTTGTTTGCGGCGATGCCTTGTCCAAACGAGGCTACATGTACAGCCATGATCGCGGCATATGCCAAGGCAGGGCAAATTGTCAAGGCAAGGACGATCTTTGATAGTATGCCCCGCCGAGATCTTCCAACGTGGAACGCCATGCTTGCCGCTTACGTGGCATGTAACCAGGTAGAAACTGCTGATAGAATGTTCAAGACCATGGCTAACCGAGACGTGGTGACGTGGACTACCATGGTATCGGCATATGCCCGTGTGGGGCATCTGGTAGAGGCAAAGAGGGTCTTCGATGAGATGCCGGGCAAGGACGCCGCGGCGTGTAATGCTTTGATCCAGGGCTATGTTAGATCTGGAATGCTGGAGCCGGCGCTGGAAATCTTCTCGCTCATGGCGCGGCCGGATGAGATCTCGTGGACTTTGATCACGCAGGGGCTGGCGCAGGGCGGGCGATTGGATCAAGCGCGAGAGATTTATGCGAGAATGCCGGTGTGGAATGTGATCACCACCACAGCGATGATCGTCGCGTTGTCCCAGGGCGGACGGATTGACGAGGCGAGGGCGCTGTTCGATCGGATGCCGCGCAGGGATGTGGCGGCCTGGAACGCAATGATCAATGGATATTGCAAGAACTCGCTGGGAAGGGAAGCTATAGCGCTGTTTAGGGTTCTTGATATGGAAGGCGTGGGGGCGGACAAGAACACGCTCTCCACCGTGCTGGATGCGTGCGCGGATCTCTCCTGGCTGCCGCTGGGGCGATCCATCCACGCCGCCATGGCGGCCGTGGAATTCGAGATCGACGTGGTGCTGGGGACGGCGATCGTGAGCATGTATGGGCGGTGTGGCGATCTCGTGGCGGCGCGCAGTGCTTTCGAGGCGATCGCGGCCAAGAATGTGGTGTCGTGGTCGGCGATCATCGCGGCATACGCGCACAACGGGCGATCGATCGAGGCGCTGGGGCTCTTCCAGCTCATGAACCTCGAGGGAGTTCTCCCGGTGGAGATCACATTCGTGAGCATTCTCTCCTCGTGCAGCCACGCGGGGATGATCGCCGATGGGATGGATCTCTTCGCCGCCATGTCGCGAGATTACGGCCTCGTCGCAGGCGCCGATCACTACCCCTGCGTGATCGATCTTCTGGGGCGAGCTGGGTGGCTGGCGATCGCGGAGGAGCTCGTCCACAAGATCCCTAGCGCCGAATCGTGGGCGACGCTGCTCGGTGCCTGCAATCTCCACAGCGATGCTGCTAGATCGGGGAAAGCCGCGGGGATTGTCTCCAGGAATGATCCACAGCGCGCCTCTCCGTACGTGGTTCTATCTAGTACGGAGAGGGCATTGACTGTGTTTTAGGGTTCTTGGCGGGGGAGGAGAGGTAGGCAGGCACTGGCACTGGCAATGGCAATGGCGCTGGCTCTGGCACTCGCGGCGCTGCTACTGGCGTCGATTCGATCGGCCGATGCGCTCTCCATGACGGTGTACAGGACCGAGTGCGTCCAGGAGCACGTCGAGTATGCGAACGATATCGTCACGGGGAACTTCGTTGTGGTGGATCACGAGATCTTCTGGGCCTCGGATCATCCAGGGATCGACTTTGTGGTAAGCTCATCTCTTGTAGAAACATTTAGATTTCTCATTTGGATTTCTTTCGCAGGCCACTTCTCCGGCGGGAGTCATTGTCTCTTCGATCAGGGGGTCCGCTGGAGACAAGTTTTCCTTCACGGCTGCCATGCCAGGGCTGTACAAGTTTTGCTTCCACAACACTGCTCCCAGCCCCGAGACTGTGGATTTCTATATCCACGTTGGTCACATTCTAAACGAGCACAACCTCGCTAAAGACGGTAAGATTTTGTTCCTTAGACACCGAATACTTAGTTTTTCGTGTCTCTTTTCTCCAGAGCACCTCAATCCCGTACACGTAAAGATTTCGCAGTTGAAGGAGGCCCTGGAATCACTAATGGCAGATCAGCACTACCTCAGATCGCGAGTGGAGCGGCACCATAACAGTAAGCTCTGCAGTGCATTTGTCTCATTTTTCTCGTTTTCTTGTTTCTTCTTCTTTTCTGAGAGAGACGTGCTTTTACTTTTTTACAGCGAACAGGAGCACTCAAAAGAGGCTCCTTTTCTACACTATTGGCGAGTACCTGGCCCTGGCCGCAGCCAGCGTAACCCAGGTTCTCGTCCTAAAACACTTGTTCAATAGGAAGATTGGCTACACCAAACTGTGAGATGTTAGAGATAATCGTGAATAAGACATAAGGTGAAACTTTGTGTCTGGGACGATTCTTTGGTTTTGTTTCTTTCCTACTATTCATGCAGGCGTGAACCAACTAATGGTGTTTTGGTATCTCTCGTGCTGGAGCCATCAGGTTTTGTGGTACGGAGAAGATTTCTATATGATTCAACAGCCGTGGGCATCGTCTCAGCGTGAGCCGAGTCAGGTACCTTTATAAGTTTCGTCGTACTTACGGTCCCATCTTTGTAACAGCAGTCGCAAGTGGGAGGCTCGGGCGTACGAGTTCTTTTCACGCAACGGAAACCATCCTCAGCGAGTGAGTGATTGAGGGAGCTGCAAAGGGAGCGTTGGCTGGTGGGTGGATATCACATTGAAGTCCAGGTTCCTGTACTTTGATGGGAGAATGCATGCATTTTGGACTGATAGGTGTGTTTGTGATCGTTTGGCTGTAGCAGCAGGGAAAGGTTCGACTGCCGCTGTCGAAACCAAAGCAAGATAGAGCAGTTTTTGACGCGTTCGGCTCGGCTCGCTGGGATGAGAGGAAGATCAGCAAGGGAAAAAAGAGAGCGAGAACAAAAGAAGCTGGAGCCCGCCAGAGGAAGAACACCCAACGGAGCTTGTCAACAAAGCGTAAAATGGATGCTGGAGGACGCGAGCAGTTTCGTCGCTTGCATTGTCGGACAAGCGTCGAGAGATCCGGTACGAGCACTGAGAGAATTTTGTCTTGGACGAGGACTAAAAAGAGAGCGGTGGAATCATGGCGAGAGACTTACAGGGCCAATCGATCGATCGCGCCATCCATGGACGTTGTTCGTCGAGGAGCGATTACGTCGCCTTGGTGGCCACTGAAAGTCGTGGAGGAAGAAAGCTTTTTTACGCGGGTTTCGTACGGGGTGAAAGATCCTTAAATCTTTCTCTTTGATTGACAGGGAAAGCTTGGGGGTCACTAAATTTTTTTCTTCTTCTCACCAAGGTTGGATGGAAGCATTATTTTCTTGCGAGCGTTCCGAGTAAGACATTGATGGTATCTGTTGTGATGATCCAGAGACAAGGGCATGTTAAACAGGGACCACTACAAGGGATGTTTCAAATAGCCATGTCCGTACGTACGGACGCGAAGGGGAAAATATCAGCTCTCGGGGTGAAAAAACGTTTCTTTTACCCGCCAGGTGAAACAGATTTTTGTGGATAAGGAGCGCTGCGATGCTCACACGTGTTCCGTTTTACCAAAGCCTATCACCGTATTTAATGCGGTAGAGCACAGCCGGCCGTCAGATCTGACATCCGACGGCATCAAGTGCTGCACGTGGCCTGGCGTCGACGTACACGGGTCCGACGTGGCGGAATCTGGCGTGTCACGCTTATCAATCTAACGCTCAGGATTGACCACCGGACAGTGAAGGGCAGGGCCGTAGGAGAGGTAAATTTGTGCCATATGGCGCCGGCCATGTTGTGTGTGCGTATGTGCTCTCATCTGGTGCTCAAAGCAATGTGTCCATGGCACATATCTTTCGAGGGTTTTGTTCTTCCGTGAGAGAGGGATTTTGGGGGCGCTGCCGCCGATCGTCACTGGCGCGCGCCACGGCGTGATTGATCTGCTAGCCTAATCTTTGCTGCTGCTGCTCGTGCTGGCTGCCGCTGCCGGAAATCTCAGATTCCTCGCTCCAATTTTTTCTCTCCTGGTGTTGCTTGGATTGCCTGCCCTCTTTTGCGGCTAATGCTGCTTGCCGGATTGTCCGCGTAGCGGTATCGTGATCTATTCCTCTCCCTCCGCAATCCTTAGGTCTTTGGCGGAGCAAGAAATTCCGAGAATGCTGCATTAATTTCCCGGCTCGGCTGTGCGCGATATCTGGAGCCGAGATGGCTTCTGTGAAGAAGCTGATCAACGACGCCAATGGTAAGTCGAGCGAGAGAAAAAGGAAAAGGAAGAGCCCAATGGGGTGAATTGAGTGTGACACAGATGTGGTGACCGAATGCATCGAGGGATTGGTAGAAACTTACCCAGGTCTCCAGTACCTTGACGGCTTTCCAGAGGTGACTTTTATTCCATATCCATTGAGCTTCTTGGATGATCGTCTCCTTTTCACTTGTGATAGGTGAAAGTGGTCATCCGAGCTGATGTTTCGAGGGGCACCTATGACAAAGTCGCGTTGCTATCAGGTTCTTAAGCTTGCTGCGTGATTGCTGGGTGACTGACTCGATAGTTTTTGATCGTCCCATCCAGGTGGTGGAAGCGGGCATGAGCCTGCTCATGCCGGATACGTTGGCCCTGGTATGCTAACAGCGGCTGTGTGTGGAGATGTCTTTGCCTCTCCATCAGTGAATGCCATACTTGCTGTGAGTGGAATTCAAGATGAGTTTGGTCCGTGTTCTTGAGGAATAACATGTTTCGTTTGCTGAGCTCAGGGAATAAGATCCGTGACTGGACCGAAAGGTTGTCTTCTTATAGTGAAGGTAGTAAAGTGTAGGTAATCTTGGACTGGATAAGCTCTTACATTGTATTTCACTCCAGAATTATACCGGCGACCGGCTGAATTTTGGACTGGCAGCCGAGCAAGCTAAGGCAGAGGGATTCAAAGTGGAGGTAGCGAAATAGATATGCTGGAAACATTGTGCTGACTTAAAGTTCTCTCAGATGGTAATTGTTGGAGACGACTGTGCCATACAAACTCCTCGTGGAGTTGCGGGACGCCGGGGGCTTGCTGGAACCATTTTTGTTCACAAGGTGATATCTAAACTTCCATCGCAATAACGTAAAACTGCTTGATTCTCTCAGGTCGCAGGTGCTGCTGCGGATGCTGGCCTGAATTTGGATGAAGTAAAAGCCGAAGCCAAGCGAGTGGCCCAGCTTGTGGGAACCATGGGTGTTGCGCTGTCAGTGTGCACACTTCCGGGTCAGGGTCCGTCAGATCGTCTTGGTCCCGGTAAAATGGAGCTCGGACTCGGCATCGTAAGTACTCTATGTTTAGCACCCGGGGAAGAAAGCTGAATGTTTTCTGCTTTATATATAGCACGGAGAGCCTGGAGCCGCGATGGCTGATATACAGCCTGTGGATGTCGTGGTCTCACACGTTCTGAAGCGGATTCTTAGCGCTGTAAGAACAACTGGTGATCACGTCTCGCAGAAACTAAGACCTGACTTTCTACGTTGTCCAGGAATGCATCCCGGTTAAGCGTGGAAGCAGGGTCGCGTTGATGGTGAATGGGTACTTATCGTGATTAAGTTTTGGAATGCTGTTGAGACTGAGATATGTTTGCTGGAGCAGTCTTGGAGCGACTCCTTTGATGGAACTGATGATTGCGGCAGGCAAGGCAGTCGCACAGCTCCAATTGGACTATGGTGTCGCTGTTGCTCGTGTCTATACTGGCTGCTTCATGACAGCGCTTGACATGGCGGGTATTCTTCTTTTCTTGAATAGCGGTTCCAAGTTCAGAATCTAATTTCCTGCTTCAGGAATGTCAATATCCATCTTAAAGGTGGATGATACGATTCTACCAAGATTGGATGCTCCAACAAAGGCCCCCTCATGGCCTGTTGGTGTTTCTGGTGAGACCATATCGCACCCTGCTGAAATCTCACTTTGCTTTTCATTTTCTTTTAGGACCACGACCTCCAACAACAATACCCGTCCCACTCCCTCCTGCTCCTGCAAACAATGAAACAGTAAGGAAAAACTCTATATCATGCACTGTCGCTCCTAATTTTTTCATACTTTGGTTTAGACAGCTTCACGACCACCAGAGCTTACTGGGCCTGGGAAATTGTTGGAAGCTGCTATCGAGGCTGGTGCTGAGGCAATCATAAAAATAAAGGACTCTTTGAATGACTGGGACAGCAAAGTAGGGGATGGAGACTGTGGCACAACGGTAAGCATTGGGATTCATAGCTATCTATCGTATAAACTTTGTTCGTGCTTGTAGATGTGGAAAGGAGCCAATGCCGTACTCGAAGATCTGCGGAAGTGGTACGTCAGAACGCACGATGTCCTTGTCTTGTTGCTGATCCCTTTGTGCTTGCAGCTACCCCCTCAATGATACCGCTGCTACAATCAATGAGCTAGGCGGGACTATAAGGAGAGTGATGGGTGGCACTAGCGGTGTTCTGTGAGTTCTAAAATTACATGGAATCTATCACGTCTCATGCCTATTGTTGCAGGTATGACATATTCTCCAAGGCAGCGTATGTAAAGTTGAAGGACAACGCAGACCAGCCATTGACTGCCAAATGCTGTGAGTTTCTTCTCGCTGATGTATGTGTTTACTCAAATGCAAACACGCTTTCGTTGTTTCAGGGAGCGATGCTCTTGATGCTGCCGTTACCGCTGTGAGTACGTACGGCGGAGCTTCGGCAGGACACAGAACAATGCTTGATGCATTGCTGCCTGCAGCAGCAGTTCTAAGAGAGGTTTGCAAAGTTATGCGTTTTACTGGCAGCTTGCGAAACAAACTCGTTTGCGCAGAAAGTGGATGCTGGAGAAGATCCCGTGAAAGCATTCGTGGCTGCGGCCGAGGCAGCTCAAGCTGGAGCTGAGTCTACGAAAGACATGCAAGCCCAGGTGAAGTTTCTCCTATGAAAGGAGATACTAACTTAGCTACTTGGCTGGCAGGCTGGGAGATCGAGCTATATCTCCCCCGATCTCCTCACGGCGGTGCCGGATCCGGGAGCGATGGCGGTGGCTGCGTGGTTTGGAGCAGCAGCGGACGCAGTGTCTCTCAACGCTGCGGTTGCGACGTAATTTTGTAAGCGAAGAAGCGCATTTGAGTTTTTGCAGTTGCTACTTCCGGCTAATGTAGGTGAGCTCAAGATCATCGCAGCTCGATCGAAAGAAAAAAAAAGAAAAGAACCATAGACAAAAGAGACAAGGTGATACAACAACGATCTATATTAGCGTTATAAAGGAAAGAAATAAAACTTGAGATAGTATGAAATCTTCTTCGAGCGAGAACTAGGAGAACTAGGCATAGGTTTCTCTTCAATGCTGCTCGCTGCCACTCGGTTTGATGGTCACTCGCTCTTGGGTTTGGAGGATTCTAGCTATGGAGCTTCGATTCGTCACAGAAAGGCGCGGGGGATTAGAATTGTGGCCGCTTGCACGCCTCCTTACAAAGTTCTTATCACTGGCGCTAGCAAAGGTATAGAAAGTTCTTATCCATCGGAAAAAGAGATGATTTCTCGAGTGTTTGTGATTGAAGGGATTGGAATGGCGCTGGCGGAGGAGTTTCTTAGATCCGGAGACAATGTGATGATCTGCTCGAGACGAGGTAAAGTCTGTTCTAGCAAGATTGTAAGTTACTATACTCCATGTCTAGAGGAACACGTAAATGCGGCTCTACAAAGCTTGAGCAGCGAATTTGGCAGCCAGCGCTCTTGGGTAGAATCAAAACTCAACGTTGGAGGTTCTTGCTTGTTTATCTCGATTGACTTGCGAAAGTTTTTTTTTATTCTTCTTCTTTGCTTGCTTACGAGGGATGGAGATTTTGCACAGGGAAAAGCGTGCGATGTGAGGGACCCCAAGAGCATCCGGGAGATGGTAGAGTTTGCGAGGGACACGTTTGGAAAAGTCGACATTTGGGTGAGAAAGTCAAGCTCAAGTTTCTAGGATCACATTTTTACTCCTCATGAAATTGGAATTTGTATAGTCTAGAGATTCTAACTTTGTTTCGTCAGATCAACAACGCTGGCTCCAATGGCTACACGTATAAGCCACTCGTTGAAACCAGCGACGAGGTGATCATGTGAGCTTCTCCTTTTTCTTTCTTCTTCTTCTTTTGCTTTTCACTTTCTTCTGGAATCTAATCCGAGCATGCAAGGGAGATCGTCGAGACGAATCTGATCGGTGTCATGCTGTGCTGCCGAGAGGTGTGTTTTGATCAATCCACGCAACTTCGTCATTCGCTGTTTGATTTTTTTCCGCTGGAAAAGCTTGCTCCAGGCAATCAAGCTGATGAGAGACCAAGGATCGGAGGGACATATTTTCAACATGGATGGTGCTGGTGCTGATGGACGTCCCACGCCAAGGTTTTAAAAAATTTCATGCTTCTTTTCCTCTATACTCTTTACAAGAATTAAAAGCACGAGTCATTGTTTTACAGATTTGCAGCATACGGAGCAACCAAACGCAGCATCACGCAATTCACAAAGACTTTACAGGCACCAAAGTCTTAGAATTTTTTTTAAAAAAATATTAAAAAATTGAATTTTTGGATTTCAGGCAGAACTCTCCATGCAAGGCGTGAAGAACGTCTTCGTGCACAATCTCTCGGTATTAAATCTCTCGTTTTGTTTCTATTCCTTATAGTTTTTCTTTATCGTTTTTCCCTCGATATTTCAGCCAGGCATGGTGACAACCGATCTCCTAATGTCGGGAACTGACACAAAACAGGTTTTTGGGTTCTTCCCTCTTTTCTTCCAAAGATTTTTCTATGCTTTTGTCTCGCAGGCCAAATTCTTTATCAACGCGCTGGCAGAACCTCCCGCAGTGGTAAGCAACATGAGAACGTGTGAAACTATTTCTAACTTCCAAGTATTTCAAGGCTGCCGCGTTCTTAGTTCCTCGAATCCGGAGCGTCGTCGCCGAGAAGAATCCAAAGAGCACGTACATTCGATTTCTCACGGGCGTCAAGGCCTACTCTCAAATTCTCAAAGTAAGATCGACCCACCCTTCTCCCATATTCGCTAAGAATTTTGGTAAGAAATCGATGCTTTTCTCGCAGAGGATTCTCTTCAAATCAAGGAAAGATCGCTTCGTCCGGGAAGAAGACTAGCGAAGATTCCATTTTCAAAAGTGGAATATCCTGGCGCGCTTTTCCAGCCGTCCGACCGGGCCACGTGTCGGCATTTTGACCGGCGACGTGCCGGAGCTCGGTGCTTCGTTTTCTAGGGCTCTTGCAGCGCGCGGGGGAAATGGAGGCTTTTTGGATTCTTGCTGTGGGAAATCCAAACCAAGATCGCGCGCTTTCGTGATCTCCAAGCTCCAGGGCCTTGGTGGCAGGAATTCTGGATTCGCTTGCGGGCGAAGGCGGCCAGGGATCGCTCTGGTTCCTTCGTCGGCACGGATGTAGCGGAGCTGGAAGGGATTTCGTGCATGTCAAGGCTAGGGATCCAAGATTTCCTCTCCGATGGCGCAGGCCGACGGCAATCTTGCCGCTCCGCTCGTTCTCTGCGATCAGGTAAGCCAGGAATCACCCGGGGATCGAAGCTCCGAGGCGAATCGGTCGTCTTCTCCCGGTGATTATCGGCAGAGGTTCCCCAATTCCGATGAGGAGATACAGCAATTCAAGGCGAGCTTGTTCTGGCTGGGACTGGATCAATCCACGGCTCCGCGGATGATCTGCTCCTGGGTTCTCTTCTTCCTCATGACACTGCTCGTGCCGCTGCTCAATGCGCTTCTGGTTTATTGCCGCCACTGTGACGAAGACCACAAGCACCCGTATCAGGGAATAGTGGAGATTTCGGAATCAGCGCTCGCGATGGTCTCGTTCCTTTGCGTGTCTCACATCTTCTCGGTTTATGGGCTTCACAAGCTTCTTCTCTTCGACTATATCGCGAGAGACTCCACCGAAGTACAAGTGGGCTACAAAAAAGAGCTCCATGTAAGTTCGTGAAGTTCTTTCTTTCTTTTTTGCGCTTTCAATGGTGATGCTGACAAGGAGCCTTTTCTTTCTTTCTTTTTTTTTTTTTGATACTTTTCTTCGCAGAGCGCCTTTCGTGTTCTAGCAATGATCCTCTTCCCGAGTTTTCTAGTGGCACTCGTCCACAAACTTTGGTGGTTTTATTACGTGTCGGTGAACCTTCCACGGGTCTCCGAGAGCTCGCTGATAAATGCGGTAATGTGCGTATCAGTGATGGCAGCATGGCTCTACAAGACAACGATCTTTCTTTTCGTCTGCGTCCTGTTCCGGTTACTATGCTCGCTCCAGATCCTTCGCCTCCAGAGCTACAACAAGCTTCTTGAGGAGACGCCGGACGTCTCCGTTATTCTTTCGGAACACATGAGAATTCGAGACCAGCTCCTTATAATCAGCCATCGGTTCCGGGTTTTCATGGTATCCTCTTTACTGACCATCACTTTCAGCCAATTCGTTTCGCTATTTATGCTCACCACCTCTCGCGGTTCTGTTAATTTCTTCAGAGCTGGCGACTTAGCGGTAAACTTTTCTCATTTTCTTGTTTTTTTTTTCTGTTGAAGCAAGCAGTGCTAACTTCCTGTCTCAAACTCTTTGGCAGGTTTGCTCAGCAGTACAGCTTACTGGATTTGTTGTCTGCCTGAATGGAGCCGCAAGGATAACTCACAGAGCTCAGAGGATAGTTGCTATAGTCAGTCAGTGGCACGCAGTAGCAACTTGCGGAACGTACGCAGTGGCCATGCCTTCGTGCGACGCGGACAAGGCCACCGAGCCAGTTGCGAGTGCAGTGGTCGGGCCTGCGCATCCCTTTCTCGCGCGCCTGGAGGCAACGATAGATATATGTTCTACGCCCAAGGAACCATCAAAGTATGATATTGACTCGTTCCAGAAGCGTCAGGCACTAGGTGACAACGCTTTCCATTCTAGTGCTGGATTTTGGTTTCTTTGATTCATGCGTGCCTTTGAGCTGATGCTGGCTTTATGTTGATGCAGTAACGTACCTCCAACATTGCAATGCGGGAATCTCTCTTTATGGATTCGTCCTGGATCGAGGATTCCTGTATGCGATATTTGGATTTGAGCTGTCACTCGTACTGTTCATACTAGGCAACACGATGGGGTTCCACTAAAGCGACCCATGTACAGCCGTATATACTATAATCTTCCTGACAAAAGCTCAGGAGGTACGCAGAGAGAGCGAATACTTCACAGTTTTATTGACTTTGGTACAGGATTTCGTCTAGAAGCTGTAGTTCTCGAAACGCAAGTAGCAATCATCAGTGCAGAGGCGAGCACCCACAGCCTGAGGAACGGCGTTTTTTATGGTGTTTCTGGCCTCAACGAGACAGTTACCGCAGTTGCCATAGCACTCCGCACGACCGTAAGCGATGTATGGAGCGTCTCCAACGCTGGTGTAGATGAAAGAGTCGCTGCCCGTGTCTTTGAGGATGTCGAGGAGACGATTCTGATTGGTGGCGTATGGGGTGGAGAAGTCGATCTCTCCGCTGTAGTAGACAACGTTCCTGTCCTCGGTGCAGTGACTCAGCTCTTGGCCTGCAACCATGGAAACCAGCAGAGCAAGAGCCAACAGACAAGCCAGCGATGTCGAAGAAGCCATCGAGAACAAGAGATGAGCTAAGACCAACTTGGATGAAACAATATCCTTCAATGGTTTCGGCAGAGCCTTGAGGCCCCTATTTGTACTCGAGGAACTTCTTGCGTGGTGGCTGATTCTCTTACGGCACAACTTTGGAGAAGATTTCTTAGGCACGCGGTAAGACATTGTCATCCAGTGACTTGGCATTACTATCTAATTTTGAAACTGTCTGTTATGCTTCAGCTGGCGTAGATGACGTTGGGAGGAGATCAACAGTGTCCCCTTGACCAGGTTGGTTTGAAGACCGGATCTAATTTGCTATTATTTTGAGTTGAATCACGAGGTTGTTCTATACTTTCATTGAATGTTGGTATTAACTTCTTCCATTGCAGGCTTTCGTTTAGAAACTGGAAACCAGATACAACGTCGGACTTCTATCACGTCCCAGTCAGTGGAAGCTGAACAATACACAGGCATGTCCGACGATCATATCCTACCCATGCGAGCTCTCGAGGTACTTGCAAACAGAGGCTCTGTTATTCTCCGCTAGAGTGTCTATAACTTCTTACCGTGCTGCAGGCTTGCGACTAGTTGAAAAAGCTGTAATTCTCGATGCGCAAGTAGCAGGCATCAGTGCAGAGGCTAGCACCCACGGCCCGTGGAGATGTGTTCTTGATGGTGTTCCTGGCCTCAACGAGACAATTACCGCAGTCGCCATAGCACTCGGCAAGACCGTAAGCAACGTATGGAGCGTCTCCAACGCTGGTGTAGTTGGAAGAGTCGCTGCCCGTGTCTTTGAGGATGTCGAGGAGACGGTTCTGATTGGTGGCGTATGGGGTGGAGAAGTCGATCTCCTCGCTCGAGAAGACACCGTCCCTCTCCTCCCTGCAGTGGCTCAGCTGCTGGGTGGCAGCCATGGAAACCAGAGACGCAACAGCGAGCACACAGGCCAACGAAGTTGAAGAAGACATCCTGGGAGCTGAGATGAAAAGAAGCTTCACACTGGTACGCACAAACCTCGAGTTTCTTACTTATACTCGAAGCTGATCATCTTCTTTCTTGTAACGGCACCGAAGGAATTGAAGAAAATGGAGGAGACTTCTTGCATGGTATGCGGTAAGCTTCGCGTGACTGTGAGGAACTAAAGAATCTCAAAATGGTTTTGCTGGATTTTCACCCTCTATAGAAATAGGAGCAATAGTTTGAAGATTTGCAACGTTGGTATGTAAGTTGGAGAGGAGCACATACGGCGAAGACTCTACTCTCCCATACGCAAGAGAGTTTCGAGCCGCCCAGCAAGCACGCTCGACGTCTCCCTGGGTTTTGGAAGCTCCTAGAACGATGAGCCAGCCCTCCTCATCCGGTTGAAAAGGCATGGCTTCCATCAGCTCCTCCGCCACTTCCAGTCTTCCACACCTTGCAACCAAGTCCACCATCACCTCGTACTGCTCTCCCGTGGGTTCCATCCCGTGATCCTGCGTCATTGCCGCGAAGAACATCCATCCCCGAGATACCAGTCCGGCGTGGCTGCAGCAATTCAGCAAGTTCGTGAAGGCGACACCGTCGGGATCAATGCCATGGTGCCTCATCAACCGGAACTTCTCCAGGCATTCTCCGTGAAAGCCGTGGTGGGCAAGAGCAACGACCATAGCAGTCCAGCCGACGACGTTCCTCTCGAGCATTCCATCGAAAACTTGGCGAGCTTCCATCAGGCTTCCGCACTTGGCATACATGTGGACGAGAGAGTTTCCCACGGGACCGTCCGGGTGGATCTTGAGCTGAGAGTGTATCGCTCTTCCTTCGTCCAGAGCACCGATGGCAGCACAGGCACCGAGGATCCTATTCAGTGTCACCGCGTCTGGAACCAAAGCACTCGTCTTCTCCATCTCCTGGAAGAGATCCAGCGCCTCTCTCTCCCGGCCAGCGCTTGCCAGTGCCAGGATCACCGAGTTCCAGCACTCGACCGTCCGGAAACTCACTCGCTGGAACGCCGCCACCGCGTCGTCCACGGCACCACAGGCCGCGAAGAGACTCACGAGAGCGTTTCCAACGCCGGCATTCGCCACGTCCAGCCCGGTGGAAGCAATCCAGCAGCAAACTCTCCTCACATCGGGAAGTAGAAGCAGCAGGGATGGAGCGGCCAGTCTTCTCAAGGAGCTGAGAAAGGCCGTGAAGAACTTAGCTTGCGGTTTGACGCCCTCGAGGATCATCACTCTCAAAGCAGCGATCCCGGCTCCAGTGTCGCCGTACCGGAAGTAAGCTTCGATCATGGTGGCCCAGGCGATGGAATCCTTGCTGCTCATGCCATCAAACATGGACTTTGCATCGATCAAGCTCCCGCAGTTGGCGTACATCACCATCAACGCAGTCTCCACAACCAAGTTCGTGGCTGCCGGAGAAGAAGAAGAAAGGATCCTGGCATGGATAGTGCGGCCTTGATCCAGAGCTTGGATCTTAGAACACGCCAGGAGAAGGCTGGAGAGGATAAAGTCGTCGGGTTCCAGACCTTCCAAGTTCATCCGGTGGAAGATCCCAATCGCCCGGGAGTAGCGCTCGTTGCGAACGTAGCCGGAGATCATGGCAGCCCAGGAGACGAGCGTCTTCTCCTGGATCGAGGAGAAGATGGTGGCGGCGGTCTCCAAATCCCCACACTTGGCATACATGTCCACGAGCGCGGTGGAGGTGACAGCATCGAGGCAGTGCTGGTGTTGGATGATCCTGCGATGGATCTCTCGCCCCTGCGCTAGATCGCGAAGAACCGAGCAAGCCTTGATGACGCTGGGATAGACGAAGGGATTGGGCGGAGAGACGTCCATGGCGGCGTACAGATGGAGGGCCTCTCTCTCGGCGCCGGATCGGACGAAGGCGGCGATGAGATTCATCCAGGAGTCGGCATCGGGGGCCCGGATATGATCGAAGACGAGCTGGGCTTCGCGAGGGCGGCGGCACTTGCCATACATTTGGATGAGGCGGTTCTGGAGATGGGTGCTGTGGGCGAGGCCGCTGTGGTGGATGTGAGCGTGGATGCGCTTGCCTTGGGAGAGATGGGCGGCATCGTTGCAAGACCTGAGCAGCGCCGCGAGCTCCTCCTCCTCGTCGCGCAAAAACCCTAGCGGAGGGCATCTGCGCGCCAAAATTTTCATATACAAACCCTAACCCCTGTATAAACCCCAATTAAACCTCTCTCTCTCTCTCTCTCTCTCTCTCTCTCCCCCACACACACAAACACACAAACACAAACACACAGACATTTTACAGAGAAACTCCATTCTAGTTTCTCATTGTTTGTCACATTTATCTTCCAAGTCTTTCTTTGAGTGAGATGCTGCAAGTAAGGCTGCTCCAAGACCTGATCCATCTTTTGATAGCTCTATCACAACTTTTGCTGCTGCCTCCTGTCCCAGAAGCTCTACCAGTGCTTCGTGTAGTTTTGCCCGGAACTTTGTATAGTGCTCGTACAGGCTTCCATCTATGGCTATACAGATCTTTTTCTTCCTCTCACCGATCTTTCTCACGATCCCGACAATCCCTGCCGCTACCAATCTCGCACCCCGAGCTGCCGTGATCTCGCAAACGTCTTTGATCACTTTGCGAACTTCGAGCGGCAGCTCTTTTAGCTGGGAAAGTTCGGAATCAATCAAGCGATGACGAAGATGAATCAAACAGAGGCTTACTCCAAAGATGGTTTCCATGACGCGTGCAACATTTTCCAGGTCCTCACTTTCGTCCTCGTGCATTATAGAGACGTCTCGTGTTCTATAAGAGATGGAAAAATAAGAGTGAGAAGAGCAACTTGCGTAAGTTCTTGCCTTAGAACAAAAGGTGTTGCCATGTTGCTGGGAATCTCTGTTACACCTCCAAGCAAACATGCTTGCTCTGCAAGTTTAAGAATCATCCTCCGGACAATGTCTCCAAGGTACATTCCCGAGAAAAGCTTTTCAAACACCTGAAGTTACATAGAGTGTAAGTGTAAACAGAAATCTGGAAAAGCTCATCAAAAACTATCACAACCTGTTGTCCAGGATGAACACTCTCAGCATCCAAATCATCGTCAATCTCCGTCTTTGGGATGTGTGGTGACCAGAAATGACCCCATTCTATATTGATCACCTGCAAACATGTTCATTCTAATCAACAAAGATGAAATCAAGTTCTTACTGTTTCTTCAGGTTTTGGTAGCGATGGTGGCCACTTTGGGATTTCACTGGTTTGTTCTACATAGCATGCGTTAGAACCGGTTCCCAGAATCAGCCCCGCCATTACATCCTCGTTCCAGTAGCGTCCTCCGGCCAAAGTTCCAGTTGTATCATTCACCTGTAATACAGATATTAGTTTTACCATTTTATAAAGTTTTACTATTTGGTTTTTCATTTCCTATTATTATTATTATTTACGTACCATGGCAATGACATGCATGTCCAGTTTGCACCTCTCCATTGCTGCCTGTAATTCTTTGACAACGTCTTGACCGATCTTGACGTACCAAAGAAACAAAAAGAGGTTCAATACATTCTCATACTAGTAATACTACGTACCGTTTCAGCAATTGCAAAACCTTTGGTCCACTTGACCAGCTTCCCAGAGTTGAGTGATTCCTGTGACACCGGGAAGGAAAATGTGAAGCCCAGTTCACGCTTTTGCCCCGGGATTAAGTTGCAATCGACGCCTTCGGTGGCCACGAAATCAGCAAGAACTCGTGCAATGTAATCAAACAGCTCCTGGAAGCCAATGGGTTCTTTGTTTCCGTGATTTTCCGAGGATACTCAAGAGTGGACGTAAGAGAGCTTACTTCATTGGTGCTAGTCATAATCTCGGAAGGAATGGAATCCACCTTAGACTCTTGCTTGAGGATTCTCTTCTCCTTGCCACCGAGCTGCACTCGAAGGACTCGAAAGTTGGTTCCTCCGAGATCCAGCCCGTAGAACAAGCCAGTTTCATTGCTACAGGAAAGAATCTAAGATCTCGAGATCATGCAACTCAAGGAGCGAGAACTTACCCGCACGGCAAATGCTCAACGAAGGAGAGTAGCATCCTGAGCCTACTCCCACCGTCACTCTGGAGGCCAGCTTCCATCTGCGAGAGCATGTCTTGGGAGATTTTGCGCAAGGTCTCCACGGGAGTGGCACAGGCATTGTGAAACTTGTCCAGCATCGAGTGAGCAGCCTCCAGGTCCTTGGGAATCATCTTCCTCGGCTTGTTCTTGCTGCTCTTGCTCCTGCTCATGAAAATGGCCGACCCCAAAGCGAAGGAGACGAGCAATCCTGGGCAAAGTTTGATAGATTTCTATCTCCCAAATCTAGGAACTGCGTACCTGTCACTGCCCATCGCCAAAATTCCGCCATTCGAGCTAGGCTAAGGTCGCAAATGCCCAGATCGAATCGAGAAAGAGTTTTGAAGTAGTACTTGGTCCTGCCACTCTGCTTGGATTCCCTTACAAAATATCTTTCATTGTTTGTACACACGTGGACCAAAGCATATGCTCGTGTGCCTTGGCGAATATGCCTCCACTTGAAATTAGGGCTTTTGGGGGCCAAGGGTTTATGGCTTTGCGCAGCGCCGTGGCGTGTGCTCTTCCGGCATTGGCGCGCGCGGCGGCGACGGCGGCGGGCAACGGGCGCGCGCTGGCGCTCAAATCCTCGCCCTCGGCGATGCAGTCGGCCAGCATTCTCTGTAGCGGCAAAGCAGCTGTGAGTGTTTGATTCGCGAAATGTGAGTGAGCGCCACACTGACTTCGCTTCAGGACGAGCTCATGGAAGCGCTCATGTGTTTTGGAGCTACTTCTTGCAGCATTGAGGATGCAAACAAGGAAGAAGAGGAGGTAAGAAATAAATCCTTTTGTTTGGCGACAGTTCCACTCAGTTTTTGGGCTTTTTGCTTGCGTTTTTCCGTGCATAGTTTTCCATTGCCTTGCTCGAACTTTAATGATTTCTTTCTCTTCTCTTCTGTAGAAAGATGGCCCAGTTCCCTGGCAGGCTGGGGATTCGCGTAGTTTTTGGAGCAAGGTTCGTTTTGGGATATGTGATTTCTCTTTGTCTTTCTCCCTTCTGTGAAAGTCGGCCTGACTTTGTGCGCTTTACAGAGTTGCATCACAGCCATGTTCGGAGGAGACGTTGATGTCTCGGAGGTTTTTGCTCTCGCAGCTGACACGCTGGGGCTGAAAGAGGTTCCAAAGTACGAGCTTAAAATAATCCACGAGTGCGATTGGCTGCAGCAAGTTAAGGTTGGTCTTTCTCTTCTCCTCTCCTTTTGCTTTTTTGTTTTCCCTTCTCTCTCTCTCTTCGTTTCGGCTTTTTCCTTTTCCGGGGCGTGAAGCTGACTCTCTCAGAAAAACAAAACGCAGGATTCGTTCCAACCGGTGCAAGTGCTTCCACGTTTTTGGATCGTGCCAGAGTGGTGCACGCCTCCTGTAGGTGAGCCACTTGCTGCTGGTGACAAGTAGCTACAAGGATTGTGTTTTTTGTTCCACAGGACAGTGAGGCGACCAACATCATTCTTAATCCGGGACTGGCGTTTGGCACTGGAGAGCATCCAACAACAAAGCTTTGTTTGAAATGGCTGCACAAGTCAGTGAGAAGCGGGGACAATATTCTAGACTATGGGACAGGCTCAGGCATCCTTGCGATAGCGGCATTGAAGGTAGCATTTTTTACTACTTACTCTTGTTCTTACTCTTTGTTTTTTTCTCTCTTTGGTTTTGTTTAGATGGGAGCTTCACATGCAGTCGGAGTTGACATTGATCCCATGGCAGTATCTTCCTCGGCCTCAAACGCGACGTTGAACGCTCTCGATCCACACGCATTCGAGGTTTTCATCGCTGCAGCCGACGATAAAGACGATCCCGTGCCGCATGGGCCCGGAGTTTTCGACGTCGTCGTCGCAAACATCCTTCTCAACCCGCTTCTCACTCTCGCGAAGTCCATCGCCGGCTACACAAGACCAAAAGGAAAAGTTGGCCTCTCTGGCATTATACTCGAACAGGTAAAGCATCTCTTTTTTTTCTTCTCCTCTGCGATTTTTCTATCTTGTCTTTGATTTGATGCCAAATCCATCAACGTCTTTACAGGTTGAAAGCGTTGTGAGGACTTATTCCCCGTTCCTGCGCGATATAGAAATCAGCGACGAAGATGGCTGGGCATGTGTGTGTGGCATCCGGAAATGCGAGTGATGTAAGCTCGCTTGTCCAAGTTCTCGCTCTCTCGGCTTAAAACTCTCACAATCTTCCGATAAGGATCTACGGAGGCTTGGCAGCAAGCGAAATGACGATGCGTTTCATTTTATTCCCTCATTCGTAACACTCGCTATAAGTTAAGCCAGATTCGTTGCGTCGCGGCTTGATAGTTTTATAACAGGAAGCAAACAAAGAAGCAAAGTATCTCTAGATCTGTTTGGCGCTTTGGCCAAGTGACAAAGACGAAGATATGATGACGCTATATGGATCTTTGTTTTTGTTCACAAGGTTAAACCCCATTAGATAATTAGAACTTAAAATAAGGCCATCTTTTAGGGTTTAGCTTTCGAGGAGGAGGATGCTTTCACGAGTTTTAGGAAGGAAGTGCTCGACCAGCAATGCATTGCGGTCCTTTCAGGTGTACAGATACAATCCCCAGGATGGCAAATCACCCCACCTCCAAGACTACAAGGTTGACACCAGCAACTGCGTTATGATGCTCGATGTTTTGCTTGAGATCAAGAACAAGCACGACTCGGGTCTCACCTTCAGGCGTTCTTGTCGCGAAGGCGTGTGTGGCTCTTGCGCTATGAACATCAATGGTAAGAACTGCTTGGCCTGCCTAACAAAAGTTGGCAGGGATGAGGGTGGTATTGCCTCAACTGTGGTGTTGCCTCTGCCCCATATGTTTGTGATTAAGGACTTGGTGGTGGACATGACCCATTTCTATCAGCAATACAAGAGCATTGAGCCATGGCTGAAGACCAAACACCAAAAAGAAGATGGGCAGAGGGAGTTCTTGCAAAGCAAAGAAGAGAGAGCAAAATTGGATGGAATGTGGGAGTGCATCCTGTGTGCTTGCTGTAATACTTCTTGCCCTAGCTACTGGTGGAACACACCTACATTCCCTGGTCCAGCAATTCTGCTCCAAGCATATAAGTAAGTGCATTGCCATTCCACATTGTTTTTCTCCTACTAAATTGATTCCAAATGTTTAGAATGATTGCTGATAGCCGTGATGACTTTGCCAAGGAGCGCATGGAGGCCCTCCGGGGAGAGATGAAGATTGGAAGATGCCACACCATTCGGAATTGCTCAAATGCTTGTCCAAAAGGACTGAATCCCGCTGAAAAGATCCTACAGATCAAAGGGATGCTCGGCTAAAGAGTTGGAAATGTTCTTTGACCAAAAAAAAAAAAACAAAGTTTTGGGCAAAACACTTGCATTAGTCCTGATAGATTAGTTTTGATTTGCAACTTGTTTAACAGGCAGCAAACAAAGAGGCAAAGTATCTGTATAACTCTCTTTGGCTGGCATGGTCATGGGCATGCGCATGACCATAGATGGCCATGGCATGACCCTGGATAGTGATGCATGGCCATGGCCCTTTGACCATCTTTTTTTCCTCGTATTGCGTGCGTAGCCGTCGGATGCGAGGAATGGTCGAGATCTAACCAGCTGTGCCCAGCCTGTTGGCACTTCTCGTACTGTAATCTTATCCAATCTGTGTTGGTCCATTGAATTGAATCTCCTCGCGTTCTTTTTTCCACGAGCGGATAATGCGTCGAATATCCTCGGCATCGTTTAGAGCATCTATAAAGCATTTAAATATATTCACATAGTTTTCGCGATGATCGTCTTGGTTTGTTGGCTTGCCGCTGGCGATTTTCCTGTGCTTGTCAAGTAATCATCGATCGAGGCATGGTGGCGTGGTGGTCTCCTCCGAGAGAGCCACGTTTATTCATTTCTTTCCATTTTCTCTCGCCGTCGTTCTAACTCTCTCTCTTCCTGGGCGGTCTCAATCTAGAAACAATCCAGTTGGTGGTAAGTCGAGCGGCAGGAGCTCATCAATTCGCTGCTAAGGATTGACACGAACCTTTTTTCTTTGCTGTGACTTTTAGACCATTTTCATTCCGGTAGCTCGCACGTAAGCGTCCATGGAGAGACGGGGCCTGAGGAAAGGCAAAAGTACGTTAGAAACAACTCAAACGAGAGTAAAAGCCCCGCTCAAAACAAGCAAGAAAAACGAGGAGCTTTCTCACCAGCACGACGACTTGGCGCTTGCTGCTGCTCATATCGAACTGGAAAGAGCGACTTGAGAGAATGAGGTCGCGAGTCCAGCTATGGAATTGATGCCGGAGCCGGACACTTTGGCCAGTCCTTGCAGCATCCTGATAACTTCCGGCGTGTCGTCAACAAAATACTTGGCCTTGCTGGGTTTTTGCCCGACTGTGCAAGCAAACAGCTCCGCCGAGTGCTGTAAAGCGATGCTCTCGAACATGTCCTCGTCAGACCTGTCGTCTCCGACACACAAAATAAAATCCGGGGGCGTTCCCTGGCTCGCCATCGTTTGCAAGATACGTTCGACAATGATCCCCTTGCTCACTCCCTGAAAACAAGCCGACAAAAGGTTGCACTTTAGTTCCCAAAAACAAAAAAGGGATCAGCCAGGCCAGTGCAAGCAAGCAAGAAAGAAAGAAAGACACGTTTCCTGCTTACCTGTGGCTTCACCTCGACTATGTGCTGACCAGTCTTGACAGCAACCGGCTCGTTTGCCAGGACGTTCTCCAAGTGGTCGACGAGCTCCTTGGCTTGCCACGAACCAAAGTCGGGATCGGCATCTTCATGGTGCCAAACTGCAGCACTCTCTTTGGCTTCGATGAAAGAACCATCGGTGCTCTCCTTGTACTGCCGCATTATAGGCAGCACAATCTGCTTCCACTCAAACTCCGTCGCCGACACGCTCATTATCCATTCCTTGTCCCTGCACCACCTGTACAACCATCAGGCAAACGTAAGTTGTCTGCCCCGCGGTAAGATAAAGCTAAACAAAGACCTGTAGTAAAACCCGTGCTCTGCCGCAAGTCCCAACTTGTCACACGGTTCAAACCAATCGCTCAAAGTCTTCCTCTCCCGACCGCTTACGACGAACACCACGTTCCTGGGGTCATTGCACAGCGTGTTCAAAATTGCTACGACTTCTTCGCTAGGCGTCCTGTTCACCGAGGACTGGGGCACCATTGTGCCGTCGTAGTCGAGAAGTATAGCTCTGCTACCGCACCTCCTGTAAACCGACGCTATATGCTCCGCGGAAAGCTTCCTAAAGTTTGGATCCAATGCCACCACCCTGAATCCCAACCCGAATCCAATCCCGTAGCACAACCTCCTGGCATGATCCTGGCAAGTTCTCTCCAGGTCCGTCACAAAGCTCTGAGCCCAATACCCGACGTCGTGCGAGCTCACGTACTTGTAGTGCTTTTCGTGCCTTGCACACTTCTCCGCCTCCGGCATGGAGATAGCCGCGTTGAGAGCCTCTGCCAGCGCCTCTATGTTCCACGGGTTCACTCGTATGGCCCCGCTGAGTGACGGCGAGCAGCCTATAAACTCCGACACCACGAGCATGCTCCTCTTTAAAGATCGCTGACCACTAGCCTGTTGCTGCTGCTGCTGCTGCTCGTCACGAATGCCTTCTCTACAAAGAATGTACTCATACGGTATCAAGTTCATACCGTCCCTGACGGCTGTGACGACGCAGCACTCGGAGATGGCGTAGTAAGCTGTTCGCTCGTGGAAGGGGACGTGCCTCTCGAGCAGCACGATAGGTTGGTATCCTTCCCATCCAAACGTGTCGTTCACCCGCCTGGCCACAGCATACGCCTCCTGCTGAATTTCCACGACGTCTTTACCTCTGCCCCGTGCCGGATTTGCTATCTGTATCAGCACTGCCTTGCCTCGCAGCTCCGGATGCAGCCTCAGCAGCTCCTCCATGGCTAGAAACTTGAGGCCTATCCCCTTGAAGATGTCCATGTCGTCCACACCTAGCAGCACGATCTTCCCCTCGTGTTGAGCCCGTAGCTCCGCCAGCCGGGAAACTGCACTCTCCATTTGCAAGCCGGCTTCTATCTGTCCCTTGTGGATCCCAACAGGCATGATCTTCACCCCGACTCTCCGCCCGTAGTAGTCGAGACCAATGTACCCCCGCTTGGATTCATACTCGAGCCCCAGCATCCGGCTACAGCACGAGAGAAAGTGCCTCGCGTAGTCGAAAGTGTGGAATCCTATCAGGTCGGAGTTGAGCAAGGCCTTGAGTATCTCGTCCCGGACAGGTAGAGTGCGGTATATCTCCGAGGATGGGAACGGGCTGTGCAGGAAAAATCCCATCTTTATCCTGTTGAAGCGCTTGCGGAGGAACGTAGGCAGCACCATGAGGTGGTAGTCGTGGATCCAAACGTAGTCGTCGTCCGGGCATATCACTTCCATGACCTTGTCCGCAAAGATCTTGTTCACGGAAAGATAAGCCTGCCAGAGCGAGCGATCAAAGCGGCCGCCGTTGTCCGGGCTGAGAGGGAGCATGTAGTGGAAGAGCGGCCACAGGTGCTGCTTGCAAAAACCATGGTAGAACCTGGAACGGAGATGGCTCGGTAGAAATGCCGGGACGCAGTTGAAACGATCAAGGAGGCTGGCAGCCACTTCGTCCTGTTCTTGAGCCTCCACCTCGACATTCAGACAGCCGATGTAAAGAACCTCCATGTCCTCAGGGAGGCCATCCTTGAGCCTGAGGAGGAGGGACTCCTCGTCCCAGCTAAAGTCCCAGCACAGGCTGCTGGGATTCCTCTCCGCGTTCAACGGGAGCATGTTGGCGACGATGATCGTCCGGTCCTGCGCCGTGCACGAGTTCCAGTCGGGTATCAAGCTGCTCCCGCTGTTGCCGTTGTTGTCATCCTCGTGCTGCTGGAGCTCTGCGGGAAATCCTGCCACTGTCATCACGCGTGGCATCCTGCCCCGAACAAACGGAGGCAGATCGCCAGCTGCGAGCTCCAGAAGATTGGAATAAGACTTGGACAACATCCCTGCTTCTCTGCTGCTTTTGCTCCTGCTGCGACTGCTGGCTGCCGATCGACCAAGCTAAAGAATTAGGCCCGAGTACCTTGGCTGCTCTGGCGAGCGATTGCGAGCCGAAAAAATCCCTCTTTTCTTCCTGCTTTCCTGCTAGCCTGTCCCAAAACTATCCCCAGGAGCTGTCACCGACGATCATGCTCTCGGGAAGCTAGTGATATAAGCAGAGGCGGCGCTGGAGGAGCACGATACCAACAGTAGCCGCCACACTCTACGCCCCGTGTTCTTATCCGCCCTCCCACACATCCCGCCTGTCCTCGAAAAGACCAACCAACCGGAGCCGGAGAAGCGCCTAGCAACAGGCTTGTCTTGGCCGCAAACAAGCTCTCACAGCACACCACCGCAGCAGCGTTCCGGCGCCCGAAAAAACAAAAGGGAAGACCGTAGGGAGCAAAGCCCGGTGCGCTGCTACTGCGTTTGCCGACCGACAGCGAGAATGAAGCTGGAAGGGAAAGAGCCTCGTAAGAACTTAGACCGAGAAGAATTGGATGCGATCAATGCTGAGACAAGCAAGCAATCGGGGACGACGTGGCCAGTCCGTCCTCTTTGTGTTGAACGAAGCACCAAACAAAACACAAAGCCAAAAAAAGAAAAAAAACCACTCTCTTCGTCTTCACAAATCCTCACACACACACACCCTGCTGTTCACAACTAGGCCTAAGTAGCAAACCTCCAGGGTAGAAGAGCGAGAAAAAAACCATATTTTACACAGCACAAGGTACGATCGCCACTGTTTGTTGCTCCTCCACGACCCAACAAATGATAAAGAATTTCTTCACGCACACAAAAGCACCGAGCAACGCAGGCAAACCACAAGCGGCAAGAAAACGAGAAAATTTCAGCTGAAAAGGAAGGAGAAACCGACCAGACAGCGCGCGATCGTAGAATGTAGGAGCTGCCGACGACGTGGGATCGCGTCCTGGCCGCCTGGATCAAGCCAAAGACCAGCAGCCAAACCTTCTTCCTCCTCCTCCACGCTAATGCAAACAAAGAGCTTTCTTAAACCCTAACCCTAATCCCCGTTTACTTCGTCCGGTTCGATTCCTGCGGGCTATCCTCATTTAATGCGTGGCGGCGGCGCATGGGCATAATGCCGTGCATGGCCCATGGCCGCATGACGTGGCGACACCCCATAAGCCGAGGCCCTTCCAGCTCACATCCGACGGACACTGTCTCGCGTGGCGCATCGCCGTCGGTTTCGCACATCCGTTTTTAACGGCCCAGATTGAATGCTCTCCAATAGAGAGAGTGTGTGATCCTCTCTGTTACGCAGCTGGCACTCGGTACTCTCGCTTTTATCTTTCTTGTGTGTTCTTCCTCTTTGATCCTCTGGAACCGCAAGAACGACGACTAAGAGATTAAATAGTTTGAGAAACGTGGAAAGGAAAAATATGGAGCGCTCACTCACAGATTTGCCTGCTGCTTGCTGCGCTGTTGCTGCTCACACTGCTGCTGCTCCCAGGGCTTTCAATACATTATTCTTCATCGTGGTCGATCATTCTGCCCCACACTTTCAAAGCATCGTGATTAAACAATCGCTTAGCAGCTGTATAAACCACCTGTGACGTTTACTGTTTCTCTATCGAGTGCTGCGAAAAGGAAAAGAAACAAACCATTAGCCTCTCCGAGGAAAGAGAGAGGCGGAGAACTAATCACCTGATTAGACGTTTCTCCGCATAGGAACCTTGTCCTGCTGGGATGCGGAACAACTCACGTTGGTTCCCAGCTGCTCGAAGATGATTGGAAAAGAACGAAAAAAAGTAGTAGTGAAAGCAAAGCGAAAAAAAAAAAGCTTTCCTCGAGCCGAGCTTCCAGAATTTCTCTGTTGTAGTCGATCCTCCACCTGTGTTGTTGTTTCCTGTTCACTAAATAGCTTTGAGCTTGAGTGAATCAGAGTATCACTCACTCCACGACCCGACCAGGAGCAGCTTCCCCATCCTGTTTTGATGCTAGATCCAAATGATGCCACTCATTGCCTCATCTCCACCAATTCTTTCTTAAGCTTTCGCCCGCGTCCTTTGCCTTTTGCGAACGTACCGAAAGGAAAAAAAGCACCGCATCCGCGTGCACGCCCAATCATCCTGTCCCGAAGTAGTACCCGTCACTTAACCGGGCAAAAAGCTTCTTTGCCATAGAAAAATCGCCAGATTCGCAGCTAGTGCAAAAACTCTGATCCTCTTCGCCTTCTTGCAAACTTTCTTGCCTTCTTTCCAGGCTGACCGGATCGGTTTTCGTGCAGTCAACACTCCCAGCTATATACGAACGTTGTTGGCAGAGTCCCCCGAGATAAAAATATATCTGTCCACCGAGCAAACGAGCCAAAAACCACCTGAAGCTTCTAGTACCTCAGCAGCGAGTACTTGACTTTCAAGCAGATCTTTCCGTTTTCCACGTCCAGCTTCGCTCCGGTCACAATCCAATGTCCTGGCTCATCCTGGATCCCTTTGGACATCTCGTTTATGTCCACGAACTTTAATAACCTGGAACCGTGCACAGACTGCGATGGACCCCCGGAAAACACTGCCGAGTTCTGAACAAAGCGCTGGGGTTGCGCATTTTGTGGGTTGACGCTGGAGCTGAATCCAAACTGGGAGAAGAAGCCGGTGCTGGATGACTTTTGAGACGACGCTGGCATGTGATCCCACACTGACCGCCTTATACTGCATCCAGGAACTCTCGTAAACTGGAGCCTGAGGAAAAGCACGGGCCTTGTTCTTGAGTCCGAGACCTGGAGTTGAGCGCCGGTTACAATGAAAGCACTGGCCTCGTCACCAATGCATGGCTCAACGTACTCGACTGGCGCGGTGTTGATGTGAGAGAAGCTCTTCCACTGGACGTGTTCCAACCACCGTGGATCTTCGTCTGACCTTTTCCAGCGCGGTGCGTCGCTGTACGTGCTTGTACCCCAGTGCTGCTCAAGAATTTTCGGAAGATTGGAGAGATATTGCAAGTGAACTGATAGTCTGTTGAGACTTTTCCCCTGGATATACAAGCGCAAGCCAGTCACGGGTCGTTTGGAAACAGTTACCTGCAAAAAACAATGCGTTTGCAAGACGGTGACCAGCCGAGAGACGTACCTCGTCCGTAGCTACATGTAGCTTAGGCCCCATGGGAGAGAATTGCAGCGCTGGTAGCTTTGCGCTGCTCGTTTGACTCGTAGAAGGATCTAAACTTGGAGACCATTGACGGGGTACTTGGAATTCTAGAAAATATAGCAACTCGTCAATCGGAGGCTTGTCTGCAAAACCAAGGAAAGACAAGCAAGATAAGTTGATGAAACTGGACAAAACTTACAGCGGAGATAGAGATTGATGGCATGGGTCAAGAACCCTGTTCCGGGAACACCAGCCAGCAAAGCAGTTATCGGGACAAACGACATGGATACGACTTCCGGGGCGTCAGGAACCGAGAGTAACCATGGGTTGTGGTCCCTTATGGAATCTAGTCCACCTCTTCGCTTGAACTTCACCTCCACATTCTGAGCATATGCACGAAAACGTTAGAATAATCACTAAAGAACAAATAGTCAGATGCTCACGTCGTTCGAGATGGAAATGGAGCTATAGTTGTTTATCACTTTCGAGCGGTCTATCATCGCAAATGGGTCTGCAACCTAGACAAAGAAAGAAAAAAGCACAAGATATGACCTTTCAAGGACGAGAGGCTTCTAGAAAAACATGTAGTTACCTTCTTCTTTGCTCCCTTCTTGAAAACTTTGAACCGTCTGTTACTCCTTCCACCACCATCCGCAAATCTTTGTTCGGAAATTGAATCTAGATATCGTTGAATGTCGGCCGCATTGAGTGTCGAGGATTGGTTCTGTCGGAGATAAATCACGTCCTTGCCTCCAACTTTTACGCCCGTGATTACGTGAGTTCCATATTTCTCGATAAACCTGCAGATAATGAAGGTGTAAGGAGCTCACAACAGAGATGCAAAGAGAGTAAAAACGAAGAGATAATACCTGGTGAGTTCTAAAGGCTGCCAAGTCGATGAGACAGCGTCTTTGACTTCCTGAATGAGCCTCAAGGGCGCTTTCGTGACTTTCACTTCGTAAAGGATAGCGAAGTAGCCATCGATTGCTAGACTTTTTGTGGACAATGCATCAACTTGCCACGGACCTTTGAGATCAAACATGGCAGTGAATAATCCCAGCGGCATTTTCCCTGCGATTCCAACGTTGTGATTAAACCTCTCGGACATCTGCAAAGAAATTTTATTTTATTTTTACATGACTTAGAAAGGAACTAGATGAAGTTCGCAAGAGCCACAAACCTGGTGAAAATCCAAAACGTCGGTCCGGAATCGCGTATTTTCTCCCTTGTCCACTTTGATGTCCTTGGAAACATTCTCCACAACCACATTCCCAGGAACAATGAGCTCGCGGGTCTCTTGATCCACGTCGATCAGGCAGCCCTTGGCGTATTCCACTTTGAGATCCAAAGTCACGTCAAATCCGCGGCCAAGCGCTCGAATTGCGGCGACGGCCTTGGCCTCCGCTCCAGCCATAACCATAGACTTGAGACGATCGATCGATACTACTTACTGCGCAAATTCGCTGGATTCCAATGCGATCGATCGCAGCCCTGAATCTTTGAGGAAAACGAGGAAGAAGAAGAAGGAAAGAAGAGAGCTTCCAAGAAACCCTAGAGCCAAGAACTGTGTTCCACCGCGACACTACTACTACCCACTCTACGAGACAAGTCAAGTCAACGCGCTGTGGAAAAGTAGATTCGAGAGGATATTCGTTTCTAGCACATTGGAATCGAGCCTTTGACCTCAAGGGAATATGCAGAGAATCTTTTCGAGCTAGAACTGGAAATGTAGGTAGCAGTCGGTGGTGGAGTTTTTCAGCACGATGAGCTCTCCTAGGGTTTTTTGGTAGCGCCTAGATTTTCGGATGGCGCAGGCCCCTGACGCTCTACATCTGGTTGGATCGCTGTCCTCATCGTCGCAGAGATCGCTGCTGCAAAACGGCAAAGAGGTGAGTAGTGATCTTGGCAAGACGCTCGAGGATGAAGCGCGGCAGCAGCAGCAGCAGGAGGCGAGCGAGCGATGGCGGATTTCCAATCTAGCGTTCTTCCAGCGCCTCACTCTGGGCTACTCCTCGTTGGCATCGCAAGCCCAGCCAGTATTATCCCCGACCAAGACCTTCCGCAGGATCGCCATAGCCCGAGAGCTCGTTTCGATCAACACCCCCGACGTGGAGGAGCCCGCGAGCAGCAGTCACGGGATCCGGCTGAGAGAGGGCGTCAACCTTCCAGGGGTGGGCGAAATTCGCTGGAAGATCATGAAGAACTACGCCATGGAGTGGCTGAAAAATCCCAAGAACTTAGCTCTCCTGGTGTGGATCCTGGCGGTGGCGGTCTCGGGGGCTATTCTCTTCATGGTCATGACGGGCATGCTCAACCATGCCATTCCCAAGAAGAGCTCCAGGGACGCCTACTTCGAAGTGAACAACCAGATACTCAACGCTCTCTTCACGCTCATGTGTCTCTACCTTCATCCCCAGCGCTTCCTCCATCTCTATCAGCTCCACCGCTGGAACAGGTCCGACGTCCTTGCGCTCCGGAAGATCTATTGCAAAGACGGTCTGAGGAAACCACACGAATGGGGTCATATGCTCGTCGTGGTGATCCTCCTCCATCTCAATTGCTTCTCACAGTACGCGCTGTGTGGACTCAACTGGGGGTACAGGAGATCGGAGAGGCCAGCGATCGGAGTGGCGGTGTGCCTGGCAGCAGCAATCGGCTGCGCTGCCGCGGCTGGGATCTACAACACTTTGAGCCCGCTGGGAAGAGACTACGTCCAGGACGAAGAGGCCGGCCAGCTACACCTCCATGAGGATCTAGAAGCCGATGCTAGACCGTCTAGCATCGGTCGCACAGGTGGTCGGTTCTACAGCCTTTTGGAACGTAGGAAGTCTTTCGCTTCGAGAGATGGCAAGCTGGTGGAGCGGCCCGAGTGGCAAGGTGGTGTTTTAGATTGCTGCATGGACCGGGAGGTGGCGCTCATGTCTACGCTGTGTGGATTCTGCGTCTTCGGGTGGAACATGGATAGGCTGGGTTTCGGCAACCGGTTCGTCCACATTGCGACGTTCTTGCTCATATGCTCGGCTCCATACTGGATCTTCCTTCTGGCAGCGGGCAACATCGACAACAGGTACGTGAGGCAGGGGCTGGGATTCGCAGGGATAGTGCTGTGCGTCTTCGGGCTCATGTATGGTGGTTTCTGGAGGATCAAGATGCGGACAACTTTCGGGCTTCCTGGTCAGAGGTGGTGCTGCGGGCAGCCGAATATGACAGACTGTGCACTGTGGATGTTCTGTAGCCTGTGCTCGCTGTGTCAAGAGGTCCGAACGGCAGCTCGCTACGACGTCCGCGATGACAAGTTTTACGTCAAGGAACCGACAAGGAATCGGGAAGGCTCGTCGTTTTCGTCGTCATCGCCATCGCCATCGTCTTCGCCCAAGCCGTCTCCGCTGGGTCGAGAGCAGGCCAGCAAGGCACCGTTTGACACGGAGCTCAAGGTGGAAATGGAGATGGTTGCTCCATCGCCAGTGGTCGCGGACAGGAATGAGATATTGGAGAAGAGCTCTTGAGCGAGCCAGTTCTTCTCAACTTGATATTTGGAGCTAACAAAACCAAATGCTTTCAGGCAGCCGTAGGAGCTGCTGCTGGTGTTTGGCTGCTCACTTTGAGGTTGCCAAGAGCATCAAGGACGTCGTCTTCGTCGTCGCTCAAAACCTGCGGCAGGGCAACTCCCATCTCGTAAATCTTTGCTCGCTGCAAGATCTCCGCCACAACCCACGCTTTTCTCTTGCTCAGCGGCCTCGAGGGGTTGAGCCTCACCTGGAAGAAAGGAAGAATCGTCGAGCAAGGGAGAATAGGGGAGCACGCACCCGGTCGCCGATGTTGCAAGCGTTGGCCTCGTCGTGTGCCATGAGCCTGGTCGTCTTCTTGACGTATTTCTTGTACAGTGGGTGCTGCGTGAATCGATCCACCCCCACCACCACTGATTTTTGCATCTTGTTAGACACCACAATGCCGATGATCCTCCTCATTCTCTCGCACCTAAACCCTAAAAGGTATTCCGTGCTCTCTTCCAATCAGGGTTTTAGTGGCCCAGCTAGGGCGACGAAAAGAGAATCAACAATTTCCCTTAAACCCTTGTTTGTCTGTTAAATTATTAAATAAGAGTTGTACTTTAATAGTTATACTCATTATTACTTCATGAATAATGTTGTTTAAGCTTATTTTATTATTAATGTTAAAATCTCATCCATTCATTTTATTATTCCTTCTTTGAAGGAAAGATAAATTAGAAATAATGAGGTAAATATTGAAACTTTCGATTTAAACTAAGTTTTCGAGAATTAAGAAAATGGTAAGACAAATATTATTCGTTATTTTCCTTGAGAAAAAATGATTATATAGTATTAAAATTTTAAAAATAATTATTTATACAAAATCAATTATGTTTTAGCGAAATTTCAAAATTTTACAATTAGTTTTATTTTGAAAATACAACTTTGTGAGTTTATGAGAATGTAGGAGTCCCGTCTTATTATTAGCTAAAGAATAGGTTTGAATTGTCATGGGACTATTTAGTAAAGATTTCTTGGTCATGGAAATTAAATTGTGGCATTTAATTTTATTTGACGCCTTTTTGTTTCCTCATGTAACACTGTATTTGAAAACGCTTTCAAAGGTAATGTAATGATTATAAAATTAATTTAGAAAGTAATTAAAATGTGAGAAAAAAGCATCAAATGTGAAAAAACTCTAACTCTTTTATTTAAAAAAGATAAATAGTTAAATAAAATGTTATTGCTTAGTTATCCAAGGGTCAAAAAAATATTATAGAAAAATATAGCTTCTGGTGAGATGAAGTTAAAAACAACAAAGAAAAAAGAGAATTTTCTTTAAGCTATATAGTTATACATGACATTTAACAACATAGCTAATATTGTTTAAAAAACAAAATTATAAATGTTAAAGAATTTTTAAGCACTTTGATCTACCCATTTTTATGAGTCCCACATATAATATGATACATATATGAAACACAGTAAATAATTGAAAATGACAAAGAAAAAATCAAACACATAAAACCATAGTAAAGGAAAAATTAACTAAAAATAATAATCAAAAAAAGAATAACATATATATTAATGAAATCCTTCTTCTCATCATCAAAGTTAATGAATTAAAAAATTCACTCAAGTTCATAAACATTATTTTCCTATAGTGTAATGCTATTTTATTCTGTTGTAGCATTATTACATGTTTTATATTTTAAGATGATTAGTGTTACATGCAGAGGATTCCCAATTCAAATCCCAAATTCATGATTAAATTCCCAAGTTGAGGGCCACCACTATGTTATATGTGGTAATTTTTAAAAGTTTTTAATTCACCCTAATTTGCCTTAACTACCCATTTATCTTATCCCTAAGATTTAGTTTTTTTTTGGTTTGCTTAAGCAAACCTATAGGGGGACTAGGATGGTAGTGAATATACCTAGAATATGCTTGGATATTCTAGGATATTCTACCATCTAACGGTTGTTATTCATTTAGATTAATCTTGTATTTATAATTTATAAACATGTTTATAATTTATAAACTTTCTTAAACCTTTTCTAGTATATTCTTTTTTATTCTACCATCTAATGGTTAATATGTAATAAAATTAATCTTGTATATATAAATTACAAACATGCTTATAATTATAATTGGATTAATAAGTAGTAATAACACTAGTATTAAGCAAACCAAGCGTTGCTACATGCAACACGTAGCAATTTATTTTCACATGTATAGCCAAGTTTCCTCCCAGGTCAACCCACAGGATCCTAGGCCAAGAATCAGAGCCTGGACACTGCCAAGTTGGATCCCAGACCCAAATTGCCCAAAACAGGCATATATAACATGGGCATGTAATACTGCTATTAACATCTGACTAGAAGCATAGAATTGAACAAAGGAAAATATCCTTTTCTTTGATGATGTTTGATATAGAGAGTGATTATTGTAACATTGATTTAAAAGTTATGGATGAACCAGGTAACATAATAGTACACTAACAATATTCCTAAACATGGATAATCTAAAAATGCATACCTTTATTGATAAGGGTGATCTGACAAAAAGCAAAAGAATAAATCTAAAGTAAAAGTAGAATACCAAAAAGCCTCCAGGGAATAATATTTATTCATTAGGGCAAACCTTCTCAATTAATATAGAGGTGCTGAGACTCACTCTTACAAGAGTTTTGTTCCAATGGAGGCATCTTGGCAAGAATTTGTGGCATTTACTGCAAGCCATACACAGAATTCTCTTGGGCATTAAACCTGCGATGCTGTCCTTTAAACCTTCACTCAGACACGACTTCTCATTGGCCCACTGCCTCCAGATTGTTACTGGGATGAGACAAAGTCAAGCAAGTGGGTTTTGAAAGCAAGACCTCATCCCCATTCCCATTTAGTGTACGGCTTATCACTGCTGTGTTTTTCCTTCCATTCATGGATCTTCTCTCCCTCCCAAGTTTGAGTGCCTTAGTGCTGCTTGCTGCAGCTCTCTGGTTCTCTTCTACTAGAAGAAGAAATCCTCCAGGAAATCTCCCTCCAGGACCACTCAACTTGCCAGTCATTGGCTGTCTCCACAAGCTCGGCTCGCTCCCTCACATTTCACTCCACAAACTCTCCAAGAGATATGGCGATGTGATGCACTTGAAGCTCGGCAGCGTGTCCACAGTCATAATCAGCTCCGAGAGAGCTGCCAGAGAGATTTTCAAGCGCCATGGCCTCGAGTTTGCCTCCAAAGCTCCACTGATCTGCGGGAAATACTTTGGCAACGACTACAATGGTCTAGTTTTCAGCCAATACACTCCGGAAGTGAAGCTCTACAGGAAGCTCATCAACACTCACTTGCTCTCCCCGACCAAGCTCAAAATTTACGATGGAATCCGTCGCGAGGAGCAGCGCCGTCTCGCTCGATCTCTCAGTGACGAGCGAGGGAATCCGGTCCTCCTGCGGCAAAAGATCCACGACATGAACATGAACGTTATAACTTACATGCTATTTGGGAAACGCTTCTGTGGACACTACAAGAACACTGCGAATGTCGACGAGTTCGTGCAAGCGATCGTGGAGATGGTTAGGCTGGCCGGGATCTTCAATGTGAGCGATTACATCCCTGGAATTCGCTGGCTGGACGTCCAAGGCCTGGAGAAGAAATACAAGCAGCTGATGGACCGGGTAAACAGGCACCTCTTGTCGATCTTACGAGACCGGCGAGGGGATCCTCCGGTTTTCACTAGCGACGAGCCCATGGCTTTCATCGACGTGCTCATTTCCATGGGAGAGAAGCTCTCAGACACCACCAAAATCACACTTTTGCTCGTAAGTTTCTCTTGGTCAAAGTTGTTCTTCTTTTAACGCTAGATGAATCCCACAGGATATGTTGCTGGGTGCTGTGGATACTTCGGCTATCTCGCTAGAATGGGCCATGGCCGAGCTTTTCCGGCATCCAATTGAATTCTCGAGAGCTCAGAATCAAATTGATGCAATTGTTGGCAAAGAAAAACTTGTGGATGAGTCAGACATCGCAAAGCTTCCATACATCGAGGCCATAGCCAAGGAAACAATGAGGCTCCGGTCAGTGGCTCCGCTAGCTCTTCCCAAGATCGTCCAAGGAGGCCCGATTGAGCTCGATGGCTACACCCTCCCGGACGGGACTGTGATCTACATCAGCAGCTATTCGATCGGTCTGGATGAGAGGTTTTGGAAAGATCCTCTTGAGTTTCGGCCGCAGCGTTTTATCGACTTGCCAGACATCGATGTCTTTGGCCAAAGTTTCAACTTACTTCCGTTTGGAACAGGGAGGAGAGTTTGTCCCGGTGCAAAGCTTGGATTTGATGCTGTCCAGATGGGTATTGCAACGCTCGTTCAAGGATTTGACTGGAAGCTGGATGGAGATCTTGATGATCCGGCAAAGCTGAACATGGATCAAACATTTGGACTGGTTTGTCAAAAGAGTCAACCTCTTGTAGCTATCCCAATCCCCAGGCTGGATTCTCACGTTTACTAGAAACATTAGCTCATACCAGCTTGTTTCTTCCATAAAGTTTGCTTCCTCTCCAGGAAAACTATCATAATTTCGTGTGTGACGATCGAGGAACTATCATAATTCAACCATTGGTTTTCTAGCCTTTCATTGATACAACTGATCAATATAACAATGTATCAATTCACATGGACCATGTGGAAGAAGAGTAATCTATACAATAGTTCCAAACCGGATAAACTCTTACCTCCACAACTGATCTTGGAGGCTGGAGATTTTCTAGAAATGGTGGAAGCGGAAATAGAAAGATATTACATGAAAGTGATCACCTCCCGAAGACGCGACCAAAGAAACTCGTGGAAGAGTTTGATTCCTTACGTGAGCGTACCTCCCGAGCTCATCTTTGGAGTGTGGTTCTTTCGATGTGTCTTTGCCACAAGCTTTGCATCGCCTGTCCACCCATCCAGTTTCAACGTACGCACCCTTCACTGATTGGTCACCCAACATCTTGGCATTGAGAAAAATGAGGACGAAAAAGACAAGAGCCGAGGAGTAAAAAACACTCAAAAGACTTGTAAATACCATCGATTGATTCTTTGTAGAAATCCTTGTAGGTGCCACCGCCGACACGCTGGATTTCTCTCAGGCAAGGTCGGCGAGGGACGCTGATTTGATCGACGAGGCTCGTCAGGCTACAGAGTCGGGCGAGAAAATGTCCCGAGAGCAAGTACCACGTCTTTGAAAAAGAACATCCAACTCGTGCGAATTTCTCATATCTCGCTTCTTGACTTTTGCAGTACGCAGCTCTGAGGCGGAAGATTGATGCTAGTCAGAAGCGATGCACTCCCCTCGCCGGGAGGAGTTTCATCCTTTCTATCCTGTGCCAGAAGAACTATACTAACTTTTTTGTGGGGGCTGTGATTAACTTCCCACTGCTGCTGCTTGATCGATCTGCCAAGAAAACTCCCCTTTGTTGCTGCAACCGAAGCTGCCACCAAGAAGAAACGAAAAAAGAAGATGACCAACTTTGAAAGAATCGCACCCCGCCGCCCCTCCGTGGTGGTATCGAGGAAGAGGTGGTCCGTGAAAATTATCGTTATGGTATGTCATCCTGCTTTGCAAAAATACCGATAAGACTTAACTCCTTACTCCATACTTCTTCCGTCAAATGGGGGAAAGTGCAGCACCAATCAATCCATGAGAAATCATTTGTAAAATTGCTCCTTCGGGTGGCTTGTAAAGCGGACATGCGTTCTCTTTCCGCCTCCAGCATTTACATGGTCTTGGAATCTTGGATCAATGCAGGACCAAACAATGTTCTTCACATAAACTGTGCTTGTATGTTTTCCTTATCTGGAATGGGCCATGGCCAAGCTTCTTCTGGAGTTCTCAAGAGTTGTTGGCAATGGACATTGCATAGCTTCAGGCCATAACCAAGGAAACTTCCTTCGGCCTCCCTGGAGTATTCCAAAAGCTTTTAAGAAGTTTACTATTAATGCACATTAACACTTTAAACAAAAGAAAAAAACACTCTATAGAAATAACATGTTAATAAAATACATATCTATTTTTTATGATAGAGTAGAAGTGAAAGAAATTATTGTACTTAACTTACTGAAACAACATAATAATAAAAACGCAATTACTCGTCCTGCACTTGCTGAAGCTTCTTTGCTGCTGCTCTCTATCTTACAGAAAAAATGATCCAGATCATTTCATCTTCTCAACGGTGCTCGTCTTCGAAGACTGTTCTGTTAAGTCTTCAGTATATTCTTGATCTTGCCGCCTGTGATTTAAACTATGACGTACGAGATCGAGCCTGGATTTGACGAGTTCTCTTGGCTGGCCATTTAGACGCTATCAAGCACCATTCGTCATATGACGCAGATCCACGTATGCCGGAGATTATCGACGCTATTTTACTCAACATTGATCAGTCAAAACTTGATCCAGGTGTACTATCCAAAGCTGCCAACTCCATGTTTCTTCGCCAGAAGTCGGTACCATCGTTGAGTTTACAGCCGTCCACATTCCTACCAGGATCGATGTCTCATATGGTTCAACACATGTCTCCTGGATACAGACCTCTTCCACGCGAAAGATACACGGATTTGAGTCCTTCCAGCCCAACTTTACCCGAAAGAGAACCCGAACTTCAAAGCCAGAGTGAAGCTACGGACTCGGGTAGTGAAAGCTTTGATGACGGGAACTACGATCTTGCTGTTATAAGCGACGGCAACAGGAACAGAGCGAAGGAGAAAGCAGATTTAATTTCGCTGTCTGACACGGAACTGCTAGGCGGGAGTATCAGCTCCGACCTCCTTGACGAGCTCGCCTGAGGATCTGTCCCCGTCTGTGAACCTTGAGTCGTGGCGTGGACCTGAAGAACCTTCCAATTCGCCAGAGGACTTCGATAAAATCTCCAACTCTGAAGTGAAAAAGGTGCTGGCTCTTGACTTCACAAACGGAGACGAACTGGAAGTTCACTACGGCTTTATGAGAGATCCTTCCATATTTTCGTCCAGCATGGTGTGTGTGAGGCTCTTCCTTCACAACAAATCGTCAGAACCAATGGATGGGATAGAAATCAACGATGGAGAAACTGCAGGGTATGCAGCTGTTCTTTTTTCTTGGCTTGTCTAAATTGCTCTCTTTTCTCTCAGATGCCAGACTGCTTTTGAGTGTGGCACAGCGAGAATCATACCACCGGAAGCAGTTGCTCTCGAATCTGGGAAGCGGCCCAACTTAATATGGTAACTTAAGTCCTGTTGTCTGTTGAAGATTCGTTTGTAACTTTGTTGTTTACTAGGAATTTTCCTAGATGGTGGCGGCTCTTGCGTTTGCCGCGAGTTCATGTTAATTCAAGCTATTGTTCATTTGGTTTTGTTTGACACCTTTTTGTGTTTTCATGTATACTCGGGAAAACTTCCAGAGGTAAGGAAAACTCTTTCTTTTTCTTTGCTGCTTTTAACTACATTTCATTAGGCTTTCGATGGAAACCAAAGTTCCCAAGTGGTAAGACAAATCTCAATCATTCGTGCTTTCTAACAAAACCAAATGCTTTCCAACCATGGGAGCTACTGTTGGTGTTTGGCTGCTCACTTTGAGGTTGCCAAGAGCATCAAAGATGTTGTCTTCATCGTCACTCAAAACCTATGGCAGGGCAACTCCCATCTCATAAATCTTTAATCACTGCAAGATCTTTGCCACAACCCACACTTTTCTCTTGCTCAGCCTCACCTGTAAAGGAAGAATTGTCAAGCAAAGAATAGGGAAGCACACATCTGGTTGCCAATGTTGCAAGTGTTGACCTCACCATGTGCCATGAACCTGATGGTCTTTCTGATGTATTTCTTGTACAGTGGGTGCTGCGTGAATCAATCCATCACCACCACCACTGATTTTTGCATCTACCACAATGTCACACCTAAACTTTAAAAAGATTTCAGTGCTAACAATTTTCTTTAAACCCTTAGAATTTGAGTGAGTGATAAATTTTTAACGGCTCTTTAATCTATTAAATAATTAAGCTTCTTAACTAAGAGTTACTTATTAATAGTTATACTCGTTATTTTCATAAATAAATGTTGTTCAACCTCACTCTATTATTAATGTTGGACTCTCATTTATTTATTTTAATTGAAAATAAAAATAAATTGAAATAATGAGCTGAAGATTTGAGAAAAAAATTATATATTATTGAAAATTTTAAAATTATTATAAAGGTTATTAAACACTACAATGGTAAAAAAATGGTAAAAGTAATTGAAAATTTTAAAGTTATTATTTATAAAAATCAACTTTGTTTTAGCAAAAATTAAGTAATGTTAGCTATATTGTCAAATGTTATATATTACTAACTTTTTATATGTTTAGCGATGCACAAGCATCACAATTCAGAACCACCAATCAATGACCAACACTTGTTTCTTTTTTGACTTTTAAAAAACTAAATAGTGGTATATCATTCATTATTTACCTTTATTGAATAAATGTATTAAATTTTTAAATTCAAGTAGTGAGGAAAAAGTATGTAGGTTAATGCATTCTTTTTGTCTTTTTAGTATATTAATCATTTTTGTCAATAAAATACACAATAATAAAGAAAGACTGGAAAAACTCCCCTAAAGCTTGTATTTCAGCAATAATTACAAATCACTCATACTAACTGCACTGGGCTTGCAATAACTCCTCTATGATCACGTCTAGGTAATGATACCACACTTGACCACAAGTTGGACAGGTAGTTGAAATTTTCTGCTCCTCTCGAATTTTCAACTCCTTGATTGCATGCCTTATCCGCATATTGTTGGTGATGTGATCGGTGACGGGATCTCAATGGTATATAGGAGGTCCCACCATCTTTGAGCAGAAAGAACTCAAGAACTAGAGAGAGAAAACAAAAACAAAAACTGTAAAAAAAACTAAATGGCCGTACCAAAAATTTAAACACCAACTAATGGCTGAGACTTCTCCAACTAATAATTCTTCATCCACAACTTCGATTGACTTAATTTCACCACCAAAGAACTTCCCTTGATAAGATTTTCAATTTCATAAAAAACAACTTCAAATTCTCACTTCTAAAATCCGTCACTTTTCCCCTCTCTAGACGGAATATTCTCAGGAAGCTTCTTCAATGAGCTTCTTCTTTTTCTAGCTCAGAAATACGTTAGTACTCACAAAAGTAACCTCAAGTGTGAAAATATGACTGTATATATAGTTGATAATTTTCCACACTTATATTTTTTTCTCAGATTTTTAATTACTTTCTAATAATTTTATAATGTTTTCATTTATTTTAAAAACAAAACTAACTACAAAATTTTAAAGAGACAAAGTTGTAGATGCTAGGGAATTCATAAACACTTTACCCTGCCTATTTCAGACACTTGATATAACATATATATAGAAGAATAAATGGTTTAAAAATGACAAAATATAAAAATATAAAATGTAAAATATAATAAAGGCAAAAAAAAGAGTTAAAGAAAAAAAACACTTTTTAATGAAATCCTATTAAACTAAAGGATCTATTCAAACTCATAAACATTCTTTTTCCATGATGTAATGCAATTTTATTTTTCTATAGCATGACTCATAACATTATATTACATATTTTACGTTTTAGCACCCAAATGCAAGTATAGAATTAAACAAAGGAAAAAACCTTTTACTTTGGTAGTGTTTGATATGAAAAACAATTAATTGTGACATTGATTTAAAAGTTATAGATAAACCAATCTAGAATATCAAATTGAGCTAACACAATTAAATGTTATAGCATATCTAAAATCTCTTGTACAATTGAAAAAGGTAGCTATACTTGAAAGCAAAAGAATAAATTAAAGTAAAATTAGAATACCAAACCAATGTAAATGCGAACAATATTTATTCGTTATGGAATCACACTGGCATGGTTCAAACCTTCTCTAGGGACAAGATTTAACTAATAGCACGGCTTGGAGGTGCTGAAACTCACGCTCACAAGAGTTTTGTTCCAATTGAGGCATCTTGGGAAGAATTTGTAAGACATAGTGCATATGCCACCACTAGGCATTTGCTGCTAGCCATACACAGAATTCCCATTTAGTGTACGACTTATCACTGCTATGTTTTTCCTTCCATTCATGGATCTTCTCTCCCTCCCAAGTTTGAGTGCCTTAGTGCTGCTTGCTGCAGCTCTCTGGTTCTCTTCTAGTAGAAGAAGAAATCCTCCAGGAAATCTCCCTCCAGGACCACTCAATTTGCCAGTCATTGGCTGTCTCCACAAGCTCGGCTCGCTCCCTCACATTTCACTCCACAAACTCTCCAAGAGATATGGCGATGTGATGCACTTGAAGCTCGGCAGCGTGTCCACACTCATAATCAGCTCCGAGAGAGCTGCCAGAGAGATTTTCAAGCGCCATGGCCTCGAGTTTGCCTCCAGAGCTCCACTGATCTGCGGGAAATACTTTGGCAACGACTACAGTGGTCTAGTTTTCAGCCAATACACTCCGGAAGTGAAGCTCTACAGGAAGCTCATCAACACTCACTTGCTGTCGCCGACCAAGCTCAAAAGTTACGATGGAATCCGTCGCGAGGAGCAGCGCCGTCTCGCTCGATCTCTCAGTGACGAGCGAGGAAATCCGGTCCTCCTGCGGCAAAAGCTCCACAACATGAACATGAACGTGATAACTTACATGCTATTCGGGAAGCGCTTCTGTGGACACTACAAGAACACTGCGAATGTCGACGAGTTTGTGCAAACAGTCGTGGAGATGGTTAGGCTGGCCGGGATCTTCAATGTGAGCGATTACATCCCTGGAATTCGCTGGCTGGACGTCCAAGGCCTGGAGAAGAAATACAAGCAGCTGATGAACCGGGCAAACAGGCACCTCTTGGGGATCTTACGAGACCGGCGAGGGGATCCTCCGGTTTTTACCAGCGAGGAGCCCATGTCTTTCATCGACGTGCTCATCTCCATGGGAGAGAAGCTCTCGGACACCACCAAAATCACACTTTTGCTCGTAAGTCTCTCTTGGTCAAACTTGTTCTTTAACGCTGGGATGAATCCCGCAGGATGTGTTGATGGGTGCTGTGGATACTTCGGCTCTCTCGCTAGAATGGGCCATGGCTGAGCTTTTCCGGCATCCAGCTGAATTCTTGAAAGTTCAGAACCAGATTGATTCAATTGTGGGCAAAGAAAAACTTGTGGACGAGTCAGACATCGCAAAGCTTCCATACGTCGAGGCCATAGCCAAGGAAACAATGAGGCTCCGGTCAGTGGTTCCGCTAGCTCTTCCCAAGATCGTCCAAGGAGGCCCGATCGAGCTCGATGGCTACACCCTCCCGGACGGGACTGTGATCTACATCAGCAGCTACTCGATTGGTCTTGACGAGAGGTTTTGGAAAGATCCTCTTGAGTTTCGGCCGCAGCGTTTCATCGACTTGCCAGACATCGATGTCTTTGGCCAAAATTTCAACTTACTTCCGTGTGGATCAGGGAGGAGAGTTTGTCCTGGTGCAAAGCTTGGATTTGATGCTGTCCAGATGGGCATTGCAGCGCTCGTTCAAGGATTTGACTGGAAGCTGGATGGAGATCTTGATGATCCGGCAAAGCTGAACATGGATCAAACATTTGGACTGGTTTGTCAAAAGAGTCAACCTCTTGTAGCTATCCCAATCCCCAAGCTGGATTCTCACGTTTACTAGAAACATTGGTCCATACCAGCTTGTTTCTTCCATAAAGTTTGCTTCCTCTCCAGGAAAACTATCATAATTTCGGGTGTGACGCTCGAAGAACTATCATAATTCAACTATTTGGTTTTCTAGCCTTTCAATGATACAACTGATCAATATAACAATGTATCAATTCATGTGGAAGAAGAGTAACCTGGACAATGGTTCCAAAACATCTATCCAAGATCAGTTGTGGAGGTAAGAGTTTATCCTAGTTTAGATGGTGAAAGTGGAAATAGAAGGATATTACATGAAATGATCACCTCCCAAATAGGCGACCAAAGAAACTAGTGGAAGAGTTTGATTCCAAGCACTCTACGTGAGCGTACCTCCCGAGCTTATCTTTGGAGCGTGGCTCTTTTGATGTGTCCTTGCCACAAACTTTGCATCGCTTGTCCACCCATCCAGTTTCAACGTACGCACCCTTCACTGATTGATCACGCAATATCTTGGCATGAGGACGAAAAAGAAAAGACCCGAGGAGAAAAAAACACTCAAAAGAAGAAAGAGGTGTGTAAAATACCATCGATTGATTCTTTGAAGAAATCCTTGTAGGTGCCACCGATCTTCCGCCTCAGAGCTGCGTACTGCAAAAGTCAAAAAGGGAGAGATGAGAAATTCGTGGATGTTTTTTCTCAAAGATGTTTTTTCGTACTTGCTCTCGGGACATTTTCTCGCCCGACTTTGTAGCCTGACGAGCGTCGTCGATCAAATCAGCGTCCCTCTCCGACCTTGCCTGAGAGAAATCCAGCGCGTCGGTGATGCTAGTTAGAAGCGATGTCTTTTCCTGCTTCTGTTCACTCCCCTCGCCGGGAGGAGTTTCATCCTTTCTATCCTGTGCCAGAAGAAATATACTAACTTTTTTGTGGGGGCTGTGATTAACTTCCCACTGCTGCTGCTTGATCGATCTGCCAAGAAAACTCCCCTTTGTTGCTGCAACCGAAGCTGCCGCCATTAGCAACAAGAAAAAACGAAAAAAGAAGATGACCAACTTTGAAAGAATCGGACTGGCTTGTAAAGCGGACACGCGTTCTCTTTCCCGCCTCCAGCATTTACATGGTCTTGGGATCTTGGATCAATGCGGGACCAAACAATGTTCTTCACATAAACTGTGTTTGTAAGTTTTCCTTATCTAGAACGGGCCATGGCCCCTGGAATTTTCCAAAAGCTTTTACAAGAATTTTTTTTACTATTAATGCACATTAACACTTTAAATAAAAGAAAAAAAAATACTCTATGTGAGTGCATGGAATATTTGGACCTCACATGTATAGAAATAATTTTTTAAAAGAAAAGTCAATGAGCTCTCAAGAAATAAAATACATATCTAGAAGTGAAAGAAATGATTGTACTTAACTTACTAAAAGAACATAATAATAAAAAAGATATAGATAAAATACATTAACATAACAAATAATCACAACAAATGAAACATATATTAGAATATTCATGCATCCTGGGAATATCTATTCCACATAGATGTATATATTGAATCTAAAACGTGTAAGTTTTTTTTAAAGTTATCATCTTTTTATTTATAATAGACCTAAGACATTGATTGATAGTTTGCACATACAGCCAAGAAAGGAGCCGTGATCAGGAGGAAGACAAGATGCAGCTTAAGTTTACACACACAGCCAGGAAGGGAGCGCTCAGGAAGAAGACATGATGTGACTTAATTTGCATTTGCATCCAGTTTCATGCTTGACTACACAACTATTAAAACAATATATAGATAAATAGCATGATTTGGCGCATGCTAGAGTTGGGGCTTTGGAGATGCCCCAATATCGATCTCAATGTCCAACATTTTTTACTTCTTGAAAGCAAAATTGGCTTTGTGCTCAAAGTGGTGAAGTTTTATGGAACTGATAATTAAAATCAGCTTGCAATGATGGTGGGTTGGTTGGTAGAAAAAAATTTGCCCATGAGGAACTTTATAAATTAGTTGGCAGATATGAAAGAATCAATAATCCCATATGATAAATAGATCCATGGTTTGCAGCAAGCTTGTTAGGTGCTAGAATCATACAAGTTGGTCAGGAGCACTGATGCTGGATTTGCATGACGATTATTGATTAACACCATTTAGAGTGTTAAAATTTTAAGAATGTAAGAAGAATTTTTAGTTTAAGTTGTTCTGAGCTTAAGCAGTGGAAATGTTAGCTAAGCTCAGTACATATTTTTTCATTGTCCTGAGCTAAAGCTGGGCTATGTTGTTTTTTAGGGCTGTAAACGCAGGAATAATAAAACATTATTACTATTTTATAATTTACACCAACAATTTCCTTCTCATTCCATCTAGATAATTTATTTTTTCTGAGTTCCTGGCAGTGTCATGAGGACAAGGTATGGTAAATTTGGTCTATATGTTTCTTTTTTTGACAAAGATACTTTTACAATAACTTTTCTTTTTAAGTAAAATAGAATAGAGCAGAAAAGTACAGCAAACTTTTTCCTTTGAGATGATAGCTGGTTTTGAATTTTGATTTAGAAGACATTGTTCTTAAATTACTCACGGCACTTTTATCCTTGAGAACCAACATCCAGCTCCAAGTTATTATAGGAAGTTACAAGACAATCGTTTATGCCATATCACACCCATAGTCGGCATTCTTGAAATTGCGCTGGAGCACACACTCCTCAAAGTCCCCAGCATCGTTTCTGAACCGGAGCCTCAGAGGCTCGATCCGCCAGTCGATGCTCAGCCTCCCGCCCTTGCAAACTTCCTTAAACTCCTGGAACTTCTTCGAGTTCCCGCAGTGCACGGGAGTGGTCTGGCCTCCCATGCAGCCGTGAACTCCCTCCACCGATATCCCACACACTGGAATCTGGCACGAGCTCCTCCCACACCCGCTCGATAGCTCCCCATCCTTGAGCAAAACGGTGCCTGCATCCGAGCAGCCAAGCAGCAACGCCAGGATCCACAAGCAGCTCATCACCTTCATCGTTTGATTGGATCTTAGAATGTTGTTTGTTATGATAAGCTGGAATGGAAGTGTTGGAATTTATAGGCAAAAGCGTCCTTACATTTCACAACGCGTGGTCCTTGACGTGACTGACCTCTCTGAACTACACGTTGGGATGCTAATAGACCAAAATGGTGTGCAGTCTTGCTTGACTTCGCTATAACGGACGAGGCCTTTTTGCAACGTGGTGAGATGACGTTTTTGACCACATTAGAACGAGTATTAGCGACTGAAAGTTCTAATCGTTCCAAATCCTTGTCTAAGTTCTCCGTGGCGAGGAATCGTGGCCTCCAAGAACTAGCATCATGGTGTTAACTTTCAAGCCTGTTGACCTTCATTGACTAAGACCATTGACTAAAATTTATGATTACCGTATAAGCCCTAATATCCTTCTAGGGCATTGCAACTAAAATTCCTCTGGCGCGATGCTCGACTTCGCGATCCGCTATGCGTTGGCCATAGCGCTGGTCTTCTCCTGCATAGCTCTCGGTAATTCGCTAGATTTGGATCGATCCATTACCCCAATCTCTTTCAGGATGGTTCGTGGCGTGGAAGCTGCTGCTCGTTCACATTCCTCTTGTCCAAGAGATTTGCGGCTTGCGGAAGAAATCTAAGAAGCCCGTTCTCAGGGCCAGCGCTCCATTCCCGGACAGGTAACGCGAAATTTCGATCAATACCAGCTCGCTCCAATCCTTGAGATTCGCCAGGGTGAAATCGCAGTGATTCTTAGGGTTTATCAGAGCAGGGTTTCCAGGGAGCAGCAGCAGCGGCAATGTTCTCGTCCACGGCGTCTTCGATCTCCAAAATGTCCGCTCTCGTCAGCGGCGTCGGCACGGATGCTGCGATCTACGACGATCCCCAGGACGCGGACATTCCCACGCTGCTCGACAGTCGCTACGACGCGGACAAAGCCCAGGGATTGAAGCGCCTCATCGCGCTCATGGCACAGGGACAGGACGTTTCCACATTCTTCCCACAGGTAAATTTCTCTTCTTCATAGATGATTAGCTTCTTCTATCGTCCCTTCCTTCACAAATTCCTTCTTTTTTTCACAGGTTGTCAAGGGCGTTGCTTCACAGTCTCTGGAAGTGAAGAAGCTCGTTTACATCTACCTCGTCCACTACGCTGATAAGTAATGCTAGAACTTCTCCAGTTTCCAGGAAAAAAAATTCTCCAACGCGATACATCTTTCTTCTTCTTTGTAGACGACCAGACGAGGCGTTGCTTTCTATCAACAGTTTCCAAAGAGATCTATCCGATATCAATCCCCTGGTTCGTGCTTGGGCCTTGCGAGCGATGTCCGGGATCAAGGTCCGCGCAGTTGGCCCTCTCGTTATCATGGCTGCAAACAAGTGCGCCAGAGATCCTTCTCCTTACGTTCGGAGGTGTGCTGCGAATGCGGTTTCCAAGATTCATTCCATGGGTGACGAACAACATTTCGACGAGCTTGTACAGGTACGGTTGTTTCCAGTTCGTTGTCTGTTGGATTAGTAACAGGATCTTTTTCAGCTTGTGTCCATCTTGCTGAACGACAATTATCCGGGCGTAGCTGGAGCCGCAGCGCAGGCTTTTATCTCTGTTTGCCCGGAGCGTTATTCCTTATTGAGCTCCAGCTTCAGGAAGCTGTGTGGACTACTTTACGAGGCTGATGAATGGGGACGCAGTAAACTCGATTGGCCGGTGTGCGCTTCGACTGTCTTCCACAGTGGCTATATGCACCAAGGGTCTTCTCAAGCTAGTCGTTTCTCGGTCTTCCCGTGACGACGATTCGCTCCACAATGCAAATGATGCTGAACCAAAGGTTGGAGACTCTGGACGTATAGTCCGGGGAGGGGAAGAGTGGTGGTTCAAGCGGTTTCGTCGCTAAGAGCTATTATGCAGAAGCACCCAGCAGAGCAGGACCAGGTTTCTTTATGTTGTTGTGTAAGTGCTGGAGTACTGAACTTTAATCTTGTCTTGCAGGTAATCCTTCATCTTTTACGCAACTTAAACCACATTTTAGAGCCAACGGCACGTGAAGTTGTCATTTGGATGATTGGTGAACAAGCGATTGCTCGTCCTGCACTTGCTGAAGGAATCCCTGTGGCCCTGCGGTATCTAGCCAAAACGTTTGCAGACGAGTCTAATGGAACTAAGCTTCAAGTTTTGAACTGCCTTGCGAAGGTAAGCTTCTTTGCTGCTGATCTCTATCTTACAGAAAAAATGATCCAGATCATTTCATCTTCTCAACGGTGCTCGTCTTTGAAGACTGTCCTGTTAATTCTTCAGTATATTCTGGATCTTGCCGCCTGTGATTTAAACTATGACGTACGAGATCGAGCCTGGATTTTACGAGTTGTCTTGGCTGGCCATTTAGACGCTATCAAGCACCATTCGTCATATGACGCAGATCCACGTCTTCCGGAGATTATCGATGCTATTTTACTCAACATTGATCAGTCAAAACTTGATCCAGGTGTAAAGCTGCCAACTCCATGTTTCTTCGCCAGAAGTCGGTACCAGTATTACCTTCGTTGAGTTTACAGCCGTCCACATTCCTACCAGAATCGATGTCTCATATGGTTCAACACATGTCAGTGAACTGTGGGTGCTCTTGAGTTATCTAATTGTCCTCTTGAAGGCTGGTGCAGTGATTCCATCTCTTGTGAATTTTCTTAAGCACACCGATTATAGCACTGCCTTATTTCCTGCCAAACCTAAAAACTTTATTTAGATTGCCATGTGTGCAACCGGATTGACCCAGAGGATCCCGGGCCCAGAATCAGGGCCCAGGGTGCTCCCAGGACCCAGACAAATTCCAAGCCCAAAAAGGTGCATATAACATATAACGCCGCTCCTAGACACCACACTGCTATAACAGTTTCCTTTAAACCCTTAGAATTTAAGTGAGTGACAAAATTTTTTGGCTCTTTAATCTAATAAATTATTAAACTCTTTAACCAAGAGTTACTTATTAATAGTTATACTTGTTATTACTTCATAAATAATGTTATCCAAATTCACTCTATTATTAAAATTAAACTCTTATTTATTCATTTTATCCTTTATAGGATTGAAAAATAAATTGAAACATTGAGGTAAGAAAAAATAATTACATAGTATTGAAATTTTTAAAATTATTATAAAGGTGATTAAATGTTACAATTGTATAAGAAAATGGTAAAAATGATGGAAAGTTTGAATATTATTATTTTATAAAAACCAACTTCATTTTAGCAAAAATTAAGTAATGTTAGCTATGTTGTCAAATGTCATATATTACTAACATTTTATATATTTTTTTGGGATCTTTTTTGACTCTTGAAGAACTAAGCAATGACATATCATTTAACTATTTACCTCCATTGAATGGAAGTGTTAAATTTTTAAATTCAAGTAATGAGGATAAAGTAAGTAAGTAATTGTAGCACACGTGGTTTTGACCCTTTATCCTATGGTGATTTATTATAGGATAACCACGAAGCGGAACTTAAACCCTTTTTGTGCTACGTGATATATGCCGCATGTCACATACCACGTGTCACATACCACATGTCCATAGGACAGTGGTGTGGAACCCGAGGTTCAGAGCCTTGGGCCACTGAACAAAGGAACGATGTCAAACCCCTAAGCATGGAGCCAAGGAGTGTTGGAACCGGACCACGGAGCAACTCTCGAGCATACAGCCTAAGGAGCAAAGGGACAGGAGCCCGGAGCGACTTGGAACAATCCTAGAGCAACCAATATCCCAATGCCATGACCAGCACGCAAAATGGAGCTAAACGGAGTCTGGTGCTATTTTGGCATACCGGTAACCTAATGTCAGGATATGGGTACTCTACCAGTTAGTATGGAATGGAACTTGGGCTTAGACCCAAGCCGGACGCAGAACAAGGATAGGCACGCAAGCGGGAGCTAGACTATGCTTTAGGTTAGTCGGCCATGCACGACCTTCCCACTATCCCTACATTTAGGACCCCCCCTTTGAGGAACACACACTTTGAGCTTTCACCCCAAGCCTCCTTTAGTACCAAGAGTTAGTCTCTGGGACAAACTTGAAATTTACTAAATATGGAATGGCGCTAAAATGCGAATTTGGACACTGAACGAACACTATTGTGTGCAAGCCAAACTCTACATTCCGTAGATATGCCAAATGAGCAAATCTAGACACTTTCCATAAATAGCATTTGGGACCAGAATGAGATTAACACAAAGGGCATGATAGCGAGGGTGTTTGGCAGACACGGTAAGCTATCATTTAGTGAATATTGAGGGACCAAGTTTAATATTATGGGGGTTCCCAACACTAGCAAGTGCAAGTCAACGAATGAGTTTCTTTAACCAGGTCAAGTATGCTTGACTAAATAAACATTTAGGAATTCCTTCTTTATGCTCATTTGGTCAAGTGCACACGTGAGGATCAGTTTCTCAACTAGCTTAAGGGGAGACCAATAACAAGTCCAGCAATACCGACCTCTTGCCATCGTGGCAGTAAGGAAAGAGTGTCTGAAAGGACTGGCCGACAGATAACTTTCGATACCCGAAGTTACATTCGCGACACTCTCCCCCCCTTAGGAAGATTGATGTCCTTGTCGATGCATACTCCAGTCTAGAATACCGCCAAGGAAACAACTCCAGAAAAAGTTCACGGTATTCACACTATGTGAGAAATGCACCAACTTAAATGAGTTAGGTAACCTCTTTGTCTAACGCAAATGTGCTACCAACTCAGACACCTTCTGGCCGTCGTCGACAAGGAAATGACTAATGGAGTTAGCCACCTTTTTTGCGCTGGGTGTCACTCAGCTTACAAAAGTGTGATATGCCCCTACCCGCAAGAACATAGAGAGAGAAGCTAGAGGCCCCAACCCTCATGAGCAAAGAAACCAAACACTACTATAAATAGGTAGTTAGAGTTGTTTACACGGTCACGCCCTTTTAACGGAATAAAGAACATCGACAAAGAGGCAGGTTATATAACCAGTCAACAGTAGCTACCCCATGACTAAAGATTTCAACATGCACATGAAGTGCCGAAGCCAGTCTGCCTATACTGGCCCAAACTCAAAGATCAATAGATAGACAATATCAAAGTCATAGACAATGATATCTTAGAGATTTAATTATCAATGAATATATCTTAGATTAGAACACAAAAGTATTCCAAGTAAGTTATTATCTGATAAACCAGTATTATAGGATAGGAACCACCAAGATCACTATTATTGGAAAAATATAGGATTCACCATCCATTAAAATTCAATAGCAAGTATATCATCAAGTAAACTCAATGATGAAACTTAACTACCAAAGATAATAGACAGTAAGCTAAACAACTTACTAAAGATAACTTAAAGAACACAAAGTATTATTGACTGATAAGCATAATGCTCGCGAATGGATTACCCAAAGGAAATAACATCCCAATCTATCAGAACTAACTCAAGCAATGATCAACAGAACAGAATAAATGTGGTAAGACCAACAAACATTTAGTTATGTTACCCATCGCACCAGCCAATTTGAATAGATCATGGTCAACAATACAAAGGAATTTAAGTTGCCTAAGCAAGTGTTAGCAACATCATGTTGATGTCTAAAACCCAAGAGACCAATCCAAAGCAAACCACAAAGAACATGTAGTATTGCAAAAAGCCATAAGCCATCAAAGAAAACAACTAACCATCAAAAAAGATCATTAATCATACCATCAATAGAGAGATGCATAATCATCATCGAAGAAAGAATCCACCATCTTGAACAACGGCAAACCATTCTATATCAATAATAATCAAGCAAAACCTTTGACAAGGATAATCAACTATCCTAGATGATAGTTAATCATCACCAATGAGTGCTAAATGTAAATACTAACTTCAACATCGAAGCTAGGAGCCAAAATGCCTTCCCCAACAACTTTTAACAAATGGAACAATGAGCACAAAAACTCAAAGAACCAAAAGCTCAAAGAAGCCTATAGTCAAGTCTTGCCTAACAATGATCACAAGTTTTGCATGAACTAACTTCAATGCTAAAGAAGAAATTATGGTACAACCTACAATATCCTTCTTAACATATCTAGAAGTCAAACTTCATAATATAAAGCTAATGAAGAGCATATTTGTATCAATCCAAAAGCCAAGCACAATGAAGTTATGCTCAACAAGTGATCACTAAACAATCCTCCATGAATCCATCTATAACAAGACGTAATTTACTTCATAGCAAGTAAAAAAAGAATCACCAATGATCAATATATCCCAACTCAAATCTAACAAGGATTCAAATATTTTAATATCGATCACTAACTCTTTCGCTTGTAGAGTTAGCGTCGTCCATGACTAAATCACTTTTTAAGGAAAAGCTCAAAGCTCAACCCCTACTAAACAATCTTGTCTAGAACACAACTAACTCAAACTTACTACTCAGTTCATTTGAATGTCAACATAGTTGCTAACTAGCAAATGCATGAATGCCAATAACACAAAGCTTTAGCCAAATCATCAACACTATCTTCTTCAAGACTAATGAAACTCAATATCAATTCTAAGGAAAGACCCTATGTAAGACTTGAATCTCAATATCAACAATGTCAACCACAAAGCATCA